ATATATATATTTAAAATTGTTATATTTTATGCATAAAAATATACTTAATTTTACTATTAAAAAGCCAGTAAAATTTTCCTTCAGTCTGTTAGTATAATTGCAGGAGAGTGAATTTGGCCTCATATCACCCAGAATGCATATATTTCTATTAGCTGTAAAGGAAATATTTCTCCAAAAATTACCAGGAAAATATTTATTATCAAATCCACATTTTTAGGGCAAAAAAAAAACCCACATTTTTTAAAATTTTTTTAAAACGAAAAGCCCAATCTGCCAAATGTAAACCTATGATCTCAATGGAATGATAAACGAAAAGCCTAATCCGCCGAATGTAGGCCTATTATCTCATATGGAATGATAAACGAAAAGCCTAATTTGCTGAATATAGGCATGATCTCGATGGAATGATTTGTTAGAATTGTAGTTATTGATTTCATCTCATCTTAATCAGACTGATCTCAGCAAAACATAAATTGACAACTTACAACCTAAGGAAGGCTCTCTTCAACCAAACTCCAACCCATGGGGTATCATAAGCTAATATTTCTTAAGGACATTATACCACAATAATTTAATTTCAGTTATAAAAATGCAAATAAACATGATCCCTGGGTACCATAAGTTAAAAATCAGCAGGAAAATGACTATAGGTGAAAAATTGGTCGTTTATTAAAAAAAAAATGTTGATACTGTAAGGGGAACCTTTGAAACTAGAGTTTAATTCTATAATTAAGTTTAGATGCTCCCTCTAGAAATATAAAATTGGTGCATATTCTTAAGTTGTGTTTTTAAACATTTATTTTAAAACATGATTTTAATACCATATATTTTTAGATGAAATAAAAATGACTTCATGATAAAATCAACTATTCAAATTATCAAAAAAATCAAGGCAGTGATGGTATTACTTTTGAATTTTATAGACATTTCTGGAAAGAAATTGGTCCCACTGTCTGTGAGTCATTAAATTTTGGTTATACACAAAATAATCAATAACACAAAGGAGGAGTGTTTTAAATTTGATCTTTAAGGAGGAGGAAAGAGAAAGTCTAGATAATTGGAGACTGATATCATTACTGAACATTGACTATAAAATTGCCGCAAATGTTTTAACAAAACGCTTGCAAAAGTCATAAAATCCATAATTAATGCTGACCAAAAGGGATATATAAAAGGTCGATTCGCTGGAGAAAATGCACGTTTAGTGCAGGATATCATAAACTATACAGAAAAAGAAAACTCAAATGGAGCCCTGGTATTTTTAGATTCATAGGTGTCACAGAACACAACACAACAAGAAAATATGAATTATGTTAATTAACTATAATGGTAAATAAATACAGCCTATCACAAAATATTTTTTTTCCAATCAACTTTATTTTTAATCCAACATGAAACAGACTTTAAAAACTAATTCTCACAAATATTAAATGGGTATTACTCAGAGTAATAAAATATTACAGTGACTCCAAAGTAGAGTATTCAATTTTCCAAAAGAAAAATCAGTGTTGTGTATTAGTACTCAACAAGATGGCTCTTTTAGTTTTAGATGCCTAAGCATTGTTAATTGCGCCCTCAATTTCATATGATAGTTTTGAATATTGTATGTACTACTTTCCAGCCCTACCATGTCACAACAAAACTTCAGTTGCATACTACAGTATATTGTACTTTATTTTAAAATCAGTTACTCAATTTGGTGTCTTCCCATTTTGGATATGTTATTATTTTTTTTTAAATATTATTAATAATCATGAATTAAATAATGTTTAGTGTTATTAATGGTTGTAATCTGTATAGACTCCCTCGGGCCAGCCTGAAGAGTACCTATACACAACAGACCTTTCTGAAGTGTCAATCAAACTTAATAACTGACCTGTCAGTGACGTGTCCAACAAACGCACATACTCGTTTAGTGTTACCTTAGCAAACAATATCCAAGTGATAGGAATTAGCAGAGAGGTCTACTGTGCATATTGCTTTGAAGCATAGTACTCTAATTGTTATATAAATACCTTTTGGTATTACTGTATTCAAACTTAAAAATACTTGTAACTTGTGACAAACTTTAAATTTTAACATGATATTTATACAAGAGATCATCAACACATGCTTATTTTAGTAGTGCCACCACCAAGTAATGGTAATTTGGGTGGAATTGCATAAGCTAGGTTTGCACTACAGAAATTTAGACAAGTCCCTCATATGCAAACAAGGTTACAGCAACTACGAGGGAACCACTTGAAATTAGGTGCACATCGCAACCACTGTGAGCCACTCAAGTCGCGGCAGACTAACATGCATGCAGAGGACAAATGCAGCTCAACTTTCTTACAAGAGGAAGAATAAGATAACATTGCATTTGTGACAAGCTGCTTGCGGTTATGTGCTTGCGTGAACCCAGCCTATAAAGCTGCTTGATATCATGTTCTACTCTATATTGATACAGTACCTGCTTAACACTATAATTTTCAGTGTTGAGAACTTGCTTGCTGTAAATACAATTTGCTAACATTTGTACAGAAAATATATTTTAAAATAGGCGTTAATGCTTCATAAATATTTCAAAACAATATAGCTTATGGTACAAAACTATAATCATATTCTTACAGAGATAAGCAGAATTCACTTTTTGTGATATAAAATTATTTAAAAATGCGTAAGTAATGAATAATTATGAATCAATGTAAAATACGAGTGTGGCAGTGTATTAATACTCCATCACACCTGCTTTGATAAGCATCGTTAATGATATTTATTATATTTTATTGAACTATATTTCAATAGGGTACTGGTACAGACTTCTATTGAAATCACCTTCTTCACTTTTGTAAGGTACATTTGAATAAACTAGTTAATTGGTAACTTATGAAAATAAAATTAATTAAATGAATTTAAGTTTTGTAGTTCATTAGTGATATCAACATTATACCTACTTGGATTAGATGATCACAGTGAAAAATAAAAATTCAGATTCTACACTATAAATCTTTGAATATCATTTGACCAGAAAGGAGAAGGATTTATTTCCATAGTATATCCATATTACCAAATATGGAATAATATAACCACAGAGGAAGATTTAAATTTTAAAAATTCGCCTAAGGACTTGATAAAGAAATATATTTTGTTTTTTTGATGTCATCAACATTATCAATTTTGCATTAGAAAATTTAGAATAACTTTGTTTATGGCATCAATTATATGGGTTTGGCAAATATTTATGGTATCACTGATTTGGTACAGTAAAGTTTTTTATAATATCATTGATCTAGTGATAGGTACAGTGATAATGCTTATCAAAAGGTTTTTAAAATTTAACATGCAGGATTCACATGTCCAATGTTAAGGTGTGTTGTTGCCTTGGTAGTGGAGCCAAGAGCATAAATACTGTAGCCCAGCATACTGCATTATATTGTATTGTATTATACTTGGCAACAAAAGCGATGCTTATTCAACATTTGTATGCGAGAACACACAAGTTTCTTGTGTCTTTGTTTTAAAATGCCAAAAGCGCATAGACACTGTCCAAATGGTGCTATATAAATATAAAATTAATATAACATTATTATATTGATGATATTCATCTGGTGAACAGGTAACACGAATATAAATAATATGATCATCCATGTGGGTGAATGGGTACCTGGTAACACCATTGATGTAGTTGAGCAGGTTAGGTGCATATTGAAGCAACTTGTACAGTTTGAGAAGGAAGGAATTGGTGCACTACATGTCATCTATGCCCTCATAACAAGCAAGAATTTCAGGATCTTGCAGGAACCACTAACAAACATAATAACAGATAAATTAATGACTGAAGTATGCATGCTGATATTATTCACACATGTATACATATAGATACATAGATACATATACCGTAGTTCCCCGGGTATAATCCCACCCCCCCACGAACACAAAATTGGCCCGATTATACCCGGGGATTCCCATGTGCATGAACAGAACAAAAATTAAGATCATTTTGCGAGGTGGCAGAAGCATTAGAACAACTGCCCTACAATTCAATGGCCTATTCAAAACTATATGTGAATTACTGGTGAATATTTTAATGTCATCTATGTTTTTGTTTTTCAGAATATCAATTAATAATTTTTAAAACTACACTTGATTTGAATGAAAAGGCAACACATTAAGTAAATCATTTACCTTCATTTTATGAGGTCGAGGTGGTGGATAGTTAGCACTGGATCCAGCCAGACTTTCAGTAGCCATGTAGGGAAGCACACTGCAATAATCATCCACCAGTTCTGGAACCACTTGGTAATGTGCACTTGATGCAGGCTGATACAAAATACAAGACAAACAAATATTACTCATTACTCATAAGACATGTTGTTGTACAACTACTGTAGTTTGCAGGGAAGTTAGGAAATGTCTGGGGGACAATAGCCAGTGGGACAACCAGCCTAGATTTGTAATACCTATGATGTTGAAAAGCCTTCGAGCTAAAATGTCATTCACTATCATCAATCCTAGCCACCTTAGGGTATTTTGCAATTTGTTATTTATGTTGTTTATTCTGTAAATAATTGTATTGTACATTTGTTTGGCTAAATAAACAATGAATGAATGAAGTAGTGTAATAACAGGGAGGGATGTACAGTTAATTATACTGTACTTACGTTCCTAACAATGTAATGTAATACCATGGAGATATTATACTGTTGAATACTCATGACGTGCTAGATTGTGAGATACATTACTGTATTGAAATACCAAGAGATACCAGAATATTAAAAAAAAAAAGCATGGAACAGAAGAAAAAATTATAAATAAAAGAAACTTACTGCAGAATCATCAACTGAAGGAATGTTTACTTTTCTATTGTGAGTCTGCTGGTAAACAGAGTCCATGGATGTACACCAATGCAGTGATTCCTTGGAATCTGTCATCCCATTTGTAATGCACTCATCCGAGATTTCAAATGGCATGTCTGCAAAACTCTTCTTCTGTGGACTGTAGAAGCTGAAGGAGCTTATGGGCAAGTCATCCTCATAACATGTCAAATCACCACCAGATAGGTCGTCATCATTTTCAAAACAGAAGATACTGGTCTCAGAGGGACTCCGAGCAACGTTTACGACCTCTGGATTTGATTTTAGAAGCATGTCCATCTGGAAGCTTGAGTTCTTGACTGTGTCAAAGAAGTCACTGTCCATTGCGACATCTGTGAACCCTACTGGTGAAGGCAGCGAGGATGATTCTTCTGTTGTTGAAGAACCTAACGACGATGTTACAATGCCATAGTTATCGGGGGAGTCATCGTCGTAGTCTTTGTTTCCCATGAAAGCATCGATGCAGCCTTGGTTAGAGAACTCATTTTCCATTTCAAGAATCATCAATAGAATACCGTTGTCATCGTCAGTATTACTTTGTTCTTGTAAGAATGTTTCTCCAAATTCTTCACAAGCAGACTCATTTAGACTGCAAATAAGTAAAATAAAAATCCAAAATTAATAACTTACACTACTAATGATAAATGTTAATGTTTTTAAATTTGAAAAGCTGAACAACATCTTTTTATATGAGGACAAATACATTTTTTTGTGTTTTGTATTTAACTATTTATTTATAAGATACCATTAAGCCCCTTACAAAATTTTATTTAATTACTTTACAATAAATTGTGATTATTTTTGGGAATATTTATTCAGTAAAATAATCACATACACAGACAGTCCATTGCAGCATATGCTGATATTACAAAAGTATTAGAATAGGACTAATCAGACATTACAAATTTATAAATCATTATTTTAAAAATAGTGTAATATTAAATATTAAATATTACACTAAAAAAATATTAAAAGTAGATATACGATAGCAAAAGTACAGAGACAATAACTACAAAAGATAATATTCAAGTCAAATTTAACACTTCAGATTCAGAATTGAGTGTATTTACAGAATTTTATCCTCAAACATAGAAATTCTTCAAATCAATGAAGGTTTCTCAAACAGCTATCAGTTTTTTCAATTACTATTACCAGAAAAAACTAATTGTATTAAACATTACAATTTGCCTACAGCAATAATTAAGGGCCTTTGCAGCCGCATGTTGAATATAAAAGTTCAATATAAGACATTGCTTTGATATTTTGATCTAGCAACGGACAGTCAGAAACTGTTGTGTTGAGAATGATGATACTCACTCTCTTGTCATTCTGACATCAATATCATTCTCGTGGTCACCAATAACATCTACATCCTCCAAATTTTCATCACTAAAATCAGTAAATAACAAGTTAGTAATGTTATTAGTATAATTGCAGAATGTATTAGTCAGATAAATAAATTTACTTTATGTATTTATTTATATAGCACCTATTTTTCAGATGGCTTTCTTAATAATGCACTATCAATAAAGTTGTACTGTATAAAGTTGCACTAATATAGTGTAATATGTGCTTTCAATTTTAAAAATGTAAATGTTTAATAAACATTTTGCAAATCACTGAGTGTGGGTTATGGAGCATGAGCACTACTTTTAGCATAACACATTCTGATGTCAGTTGTTAAGTCTGACTTATTGTAAAGGTCAACTTATTAGGTGGGTCATAAATTTAATATACTAAATAATACACAATAAACAAGAAAGCATTGCAGATGAGCACCTTGATAATTCAGTCAGCAACAGCATTGTAATAATATTGGTACATTACCTGATAAGTTCATTTTGGTTGTCCATAGAGGGAGACATTGTAATTTTCCTATGATCACGAAGACCATGACAACTTCTCTCTGTTTCAAAGAACGCTAAACAACTTCCTAGCGGGAAGTCAGTGTTAGGTGGAGTGTCTTGGTACTTCCTAATAAAGGATTAATATTGAATACAGGTTCATATTAATACAGGTTAAAAAAAAACTATGGTCTGTTGTTTGATAAAAAGACAAACCATGGTTTGCTTATTTACAAATAACAGTTTATCTTTTACAAACTATGGTTTGTCTTTTACAAGCCACGGTTTGTCTTTTCTCATTGTTTGTAAAAGACAAACAATGGTTTGTAAACCATTTTTTAATCAAAAGACGTGGTTTATAGAACAGAATTGGTAGTGTGTTGTATAGCACCCCTTAATCATGTATGTCAAGATATTTTATATTAAAGTTTTACTGTCTGTTGAATTAATAATTCATTGTTGAACAATAAACCTCAATATTTGAATTGCTTGTTATTCATTCATTTCTAATGTTTAATTGAAGGTTTGTGGATTCTCCATATCTTTTCAGGCAGTATATTTTTAATAATATTAGTAGAGCATGAATACTAATTATTATTATTAGAATTAAGAAATTTACTATAATTAATTTACCAACAATAATGAATAGATACTGAATACTGGTACCTACAACATATACAACAAAATACTAATTATACATTAAATATGAAATATAAAAATATAATTATGAATTGCATATTAATACCTTTGTTTATCATAGTAGTAGGAAATTGGTCTAGTACGTGCTGAGCAACTCTGCTTCATTAAACGCTTCATATCTGTCTTTCTCTAATAAAACAAAAAATTTATACACATACCTATTATTATTTCATTTTGTAATTGTTATAAAAACACTTAAAATATAGGGCAACATTTAAAATTTTAAAACCGACATTGAATACAGTAGATCTAATAAGTGAACATTAAAATAATCAATTTATAACCTTCAGACATTGAGGACTATGGTGAGATAAGTGATTGCAAACTAAAGCCGTAATATTGTTTGTTAGAGCAGACTTTCTTATTGTTTAGTGGTGGCCTTCTCGGAATAAACCATAGGTCCAGTGTGTAAAAATCCCAGTACATCATGTAATACGAGTAAGGAGATACCCCAGTCTGGTCCAGACAGCCCTGCGGTTGACAAGCGAAATGTGCTTGCATGCCAGTTTACGAAGTAGTGACATAGGATGACCCTTAGGGGTAAAGAATGTTAATGAACGAAATATTCCACTCAGTGAATGTCATGAGTGTCAGGATTGAAAGATATTATGCATTAAAAATAGCCACTATAAATATTATTACTGTACATCTTTGAACACTGTAGACATTTAACTGAGTTAATAAAATCAAATATTATTAATTTTGTTACCTTCTTATTTCGGAATAAAGCTGCAACATGTTCATCTGTTTGTCCGAACTCCAGTTTCCTTTTTTTGCGATTTTGTCTTTGCACTAAATTTTCTAGCTGACTATGTTTAGGCTTTCTTGGGGCATTGTTGGGAAGGATCAGTCGGTATTGTTTTGGTGTACGAAACATATCCATTGCATTCTCACTACAAGAGTTTACTTATTTATTTATTTATATATTATTTATTTATTCTGGTATAAAAACATAAAATGAAACACAGCAACCAAAGGCTGAAATAGTTTGTACTACAAAAAAAAAAAATAAAAAAAATAAAGACAAATACAAAACATCATTATAAAAAAAAAATATTAAAAAGTCTATATAATTACTATTATTATTAGTTTTCATGATACAAGTGTTGTTACAATGGGATTTGTATTTTGTTATTTATATTGCTTTCTATTATAATTTTTAATTGTAAATCTATTGCAATCGATTGTAAGTGCACTGAAGAACAATACACAAGTAGTGAAAATGCCTGAAACAATAAATAAATAAATAAATATATATTTTTCATTGATGAAATAATAGTAATAATGAATTAAATTTGTAAATATGGTGCAATTAAGTTTGAATAATAGATTAATTCATCAAGAAAATGGAGAAATGTATGGCGCTTACTGATCTGCCTCATTGATATCCTCATTACACATCAGATCCGGTGTTAAACATGCATTTCTACAGCTTCCTATCTTGCTTACACTGCTACTTGCTACACCTACATAAACATAAGCCACTCCCAGCTATAACATTTTCATGCAGTAAGACATTTTTATACCTTGATATTAAGCAAATTTTATTTTGAGAAGAATTTTTAGAAGAGAAATTAATAAAATATATTGATAGATTTAAATGTGTGTGGGCTTACAAAAGAAAACAGATAGTGCCATCAATTAAGGTCCTATCGCATGGTCATAAAGAATGCGTTGTTGCGATACAATCAGTTCAGTAATCAAATATATATAATTGTATATATGAGGCTTGCCATCCCAAAACCAGTGTACTGTTGCTACATGTTAAACTGAGTAATTACCATAAGAATGTAGCAGTATTTTATACAGAAAAGCCATACTACTATTATTCGTATAACTTTGGCAATAGTAAGTCGATTCCATTAAATGACCTATCATTATAAAGATTATAATGTGGAGAATGCATATATTAAAAAGTCAATTTTCATTTGTCGATCACTGATGCTGGTTTTGTAATGGCATGCCTTATATTTAATAGTGTTGACTGAAGAAAGGAAGGTTTTTATTGTGAGATTTCTTGGTGGTGGTGGGCATAATAAATCCATTTTTTTGTGTGCAGTGGCTTGTGCACTAACAGGCCATCCCTGCATCCCATGAACTCCTATACTCACTTGACTGTATTCTTTCAAATTGTTTAGTAGGTTTACAAACATGTTGATAATTAACTGCAGGAGAACATGGTACCACTTGGTCCGCATTCATCGAGACCCTAACCTTCACGCTGTTGCTTTTACCACTTTTAAGTTTAGATGGCTTCTTACTGTAAAAATTAATTCAGATATATTAGAACATTACATCTATATTATATAAAATATCAATTATATCAAAATTATTAGCAATTGTTCAAATTTAATGTATTACTTATTATTTTGTGCCTTTTTTTAACATTTCATTTTTCATACAGAAGAAATAAACCCTACTTGCTGGTTCATTTAAAATTACTTTATTTGGATTTATACCTACTTCGTTTTAGATTTATACACCTTTTTTGTCTTCTTTGGTTTTTTCTTGATTACAATTCCGTTTTTATAACTGTCAATGAATTCTTGATGTATAGACTGAATGGTAACTTGTTTCCATGCTGGAGGTGACCATTCTACAAGAAAATTATCTGAATAATTCTCAATGTCATTTAATTCCTATTTTTCACACCAATACATTAACTATAATCATGTTCTTTTAGTGATAGTTACATGGACAGTGAACTAAATAAACCATAAGTAAACAAAAATATTTTAAAATCATACAAATCATTAAAGTTACTGTTAGGATGAGATTTCTAATGGGTCCATCTTTTAGGAAAACTTCAGAAACTAAAAATGGTGGTACTGTAAGTTACATTTTATGGTATCCATGCTGAATAATAACGTATCAGGTTTCAAATCAGGGAATTGGACTCTTGTGAGGGCTATGTATATCATCTCCCCTTCAGCCTCATTACAAAGGTAGTTTATAGTGTATCATAAAGTTTATTATATAAAAAGTTGAGTCACTTGCCATATACCTGCAATGGAATTTAAATATCAAAATTTAAAAAAACTTACCACCTCCTTGTACATTCATAAGCTGCAGTGAAACAATTGCTTCCAAATAATGAATTTTTCGCAATGATTCTTGTAAAATACAGGACTTAAAAGAAAAGAAAATTTAACTTACAATCTTGATTCTCAATAGGCAGGTGTTTACACTTAAAAATCAAAAAGTGGAAAATATAAATAAAAAAAAAAGAACAACTCCAAAAATTATCTGTCTGTTTTCAGTGTTACTGTCTTTTTTGTTTTATTTTAAACTAATCAGTGGATTTTGAAAAAATACCAGAGGATCAAGACCAATAATTTGTTACTGAAAACATGGACAATCATGCCCCCTCATTTCAAAAATGAGGGGCAGACCCAGAATTTTGAAATGAGGGGGCAATGCAATAAAATTTTACAGACAAACATGTATCCAATAATGTATTTAAACAAATGTTGGAAAAGCTGAAAAAGATGATATATAATCAACCAAAACTAGAAGCTTACCTTTGATAGCTTTGCATCAAAATGAATATTGCTCTTCAACTGGTTGAAACACTCTGCAATATTTGCACGACATTTAGCATCAGCTGCTCTTCGCTTTTGCACTTTTTCATACTCAACTCTAGCTCCATACACACTATTCAGTTGAGAGGAACTTGATTTAATTGGCTAATGAAAATGAAAATATTATAAAGGGTCTCAGAGGACAATTCCTGATCCATCATATCGTCATTGGACTAAAAATATTTATTCAGCTCCTAAATTATTGTAGTCTAAAAAGCACTGTTTTACTGAAATAAATCTCTCCCTTTATTAAAGATGTACTGTCCATTGAAAATGACCAAAATCATAAAAGATAATTTCTAAATCAATTTGCTCATTTTGTAGTAACATACAAATTATTAACTTGAGCATAAAAATAATTAAATTAAAAAAATGTGTTCCCAGATTTTTTAACTGGATAATTATATAATAAAGATAATAAAACACTTCCGATGACTGAAAGTGTTTCTATCATTTTTTCGCTGTAAAATGATGGTTTTATGGGTAAGCTAATTTTTTTAATACAGTACACTGATTTCTGTGTTCAAGTTGATAATTTTTATGTTACTTCAAAATGGGCAAGTAAATTTCAAAAATGATTTTTATGATTTTTTTGATTGTTTTTTGCAAGGGACAGTACATCTTTAATTATACCTCTACCAGTTCCATGAGGATTTAAAATTTTAACTTACTCCACCAAGACTGACATGAGCATAGACTAGTCTGGGGGACTGCCCAGCAGTAGCCCTAGCCTAAATAATTCTTGTTGTAAATTGCCTTGCCTTGGTTTATCGTAGATAGCCCTAGGCCCTCATAGGGCCGCCTAACAAAGACGAATATTAATAAATAGACGGTAAATAAATGCTTTGTGGTCACCCTAAAACCCAACATTAATCTAGTTTTATATTTCGGCGCTAAGATAGGAGGCCTAGGCTAGGCCTATACTATATAGGCACCCTAGCTAGCTAGATAGGCCTAGGGCCTAGGCCTAGCTAGGCTAGGCTAGCCCTAGCCTGGGCCTAGGCCTGAGGCTAGGAGAGCCTAAAAATGCACTTTAGTACTCCACTCTAACACTAACCCTAACCATAACAATGACATAACTGGAGGTTAAGGTTATGGTTAGGGTGGCCGATATTTTTTGGAAAATACAGAACAGCTAGGCCTATATTCCTGCATAGGCCTAGCCGAGGCTAGGTAGAGCACCGGCAAGGTTGGGTTAACGCTGAGAGAGTAAAAAAAATGAGTTTGAACCTGCCCAGCCAGGGGATCAAAAAGAAGCCCATCGACGGCATTTGTAGTAATAGTCTAATTCGTGTATTGAATTCGAAAAAGTTAAATATACTCACTGTACTAAGTTCCATAATTATAATTAGGCCTATCCATATCAAAAAACTTTTAATTTTAAGGTAACATAAACAACGGAAGGCAATGAGCCGATCGCCTATCACCCGAATCTCTTTGACAAACTTTTGAAACGTCACCTTTCAGGAACTCACTTCATTGGTTGAGCCACCGTTAACGACTGGGAGTTGACCAATCACGTAAGAGAAAGGTATAATTCATTCAAAAACTTTATGCGTATATAACTCGGGGTTCAAGGTGTGGGCGTACCTGGACATCTAGGCTGTAGATGCCAAGAAATTGAAGCACCGAAGTTGCAACATGTAATACGCGCACTATGTTGCACGCGTAACTATTGTACTCTCATTACTGGAGCAGGGGTCATGTACTATATACAGCTAACAAGGCCAGCATGAGAATTTTTTTTTTAGTAAAGAATTTCATCCAATTCAATGATTTGTACACTTTTTATTTTAATAATTTTGATGTACACTTTCTTTTTATATATTTTATATGAAGTGTTGTATAATTTTGAATTTTAATACAATAAAATCTGTTGTTCCAGGCACTGCTTGTGTAGCTGATCACGCAGTCCCTGGGTCGTTTGTATAAAATTAATCAGACAGGAACTAGAGGCGTGAGCTCTTTCCCGCCTTACCCCAAAGACATGCAGAGAGAGCAAAATGTTTCAGAATGGACCATTCCGCTAAGCCCCACCCTGTGAGATGTGCGAGTATTCCTGGCCCTGTTCCGATTCGTCAATTAAATTTTGATTGATACTGGGAAGGTCCATTGCACTGCTCGATGCAGTTTCCTAAGCTTTATCTCATTCAAATTTATGCTAAACTACATTAACCCGAACCAGTCTAGTAATTAAACGAAATTAGCACTAAGGGCCGGGGAAGTGCTCGGTTTTCAACATTACGTCATGATATTAGAGGCTATTCAGTAGGAACTTTATGCAACAGGACAGGAAGACGGTGGTTTTGTGCTCATCAGAGCATGAAGACCACAGTAAACAATTAGGGTGCTTAACCCAAATTTCCGTTGTTGACGGCTCCCTGTCCTCTTGTGAGAAGTGCCGAGTATCATTTCCGAGGACTTTAGTTGCATATTTAAATGGAATATTTTTCTTTCAGTGTTAATTATCTCTCTATATCTTTCCTTTCCAGAAAATGCGGCATACCCTAAAGCTGAGAGAGGCGCATTCAGTACATGACCATTGGTCAAACAGCCACTGCCTACAGACACGGAAAACAGGGACACAAATGTTTGGAATTTGGAATTTAAAAGAAATTTTTATTCATTTTTATACTGAAATCAGATAACAGAGGAGTTAGGCCTACTACTAGATATTCAATGCGTACTACTGGGCATCAATGACTTACAACAATACTTTTGAGAATCAACAAGACACACCTTTAATTAAACAAAACAAAAAAAAACAGTAAAAATATAAGAAATCTTGGACGGTCTTGCATATATCAATCAGAGGAGAAGGCTGCAGTGGCGGATACAGCAATTCAAAATAGAAGGGGGCAGGGGGTCTTTTCGCAGATGGAGGATATACCACCTCAGGCCCACCAAGGTAGGGGCAGAGGTAAAAGAAAATTGGTGATTATGGCACCTCTAGATGCACCCTTTAGATTTTTGAATATAATTTTCTTTATATCTCCATTTCCTTATAATAAATTTTGGACAATTTGGGGGGAGGGCACCCCCTTCAATCTGCCACTGGACTGGTTCAGGCTGGAGAGTGGTAGGGGGTTCAAAAAAGTGAACGGAATCCCTTGTCATTTTTATTTTTCCACTGTAGGGGCCTGTTGCTATCCCCAGCAACCCCTTCCCCAGCCTATGCCCTATCACTTTATGACAATTCCAACAAATGCTACTAAAAGAGGTCTCTTCAACTAAATATGTATATATTTCAATTAAATTTTGAGGTTTTTTTTTAAAGGATTATAACAAAAAAATATTAGTGACAACGATAGGCATCAACATGTCTAAATTATTTATCACATCACTACAAATAATTCAGCCATTTGCAAAAATACATATAAAACAAATATATCTAGTCCAGTTTGTTTAACCAGACAAATCTTCTGGACATCTAAATAAATATTGAATATAATAACTTATTTGTTACTAATTGATTTTAGAGAGGTTGTCCTTGCAATTACAAATGTTTTTAACATATTTTTTTTTCAATTTTCAGTTCTTCTCTTAAGAGGCAACGAAGAGATAAAGTGAAGCTGCTTGATAGTGTAACATTAGCTTAGCTTAGTAACATTTTTATAAAGAGAACATTTCAGCTGATTCAATTTCACAAATTCATGAAATCAGCTGCATTTACTTTACCATACTAATTTATATTTACGATTCTAACAACACTGACTACTAAACAAACATTAAAGATAAAATTAAGTACAAGTAATTAAGTACAGAATAATTCTATCCAATGTGGACCATACATGCATATGAAAATAGTTGGAAAAGTGTACTGTATTGTGGATCTGTTGGCGACCAATTAAAATAGTTTTTTTTGCAATGTAAGGCAACACTTTTGTGGAGGTTCTGGTATAACCTTATGTACATACCCCCATCTTTGCAGAGGGAGTGCAAAATATTTTGCATGATACAGTGTCAACTTAAAGCATGCATAGGCAGGACAAACACATTTCACTTAATGCACTACAAAAAAACTCTCACATCACTTTACTACTGTACTAACCTAGACAAATACAAACAACTGCATATTGAAAGCATTGCAACCTAATCATTAAACAATATATGAAAAGCATATAATTTAAGTAACAGTGAAAATATATCATTTAAAATATGAAACCATGGTGGTTTGTCCAATAATTACTTATGTAGTGGTGGAATTCATCAAATATTAAAAAATTAAGACACTAAACTTAAGTACCATTTCAGCAATATTTTGAAGATATATTCATATGTGCAAAATTATATACACTTGGTTCTTCCGAAGTCAATGAATGTTCATGTCCATTGTTGCATGATAAAAAAAAAGTAAAGGTATGGAAATTAAAATATAATTGAATTTAATTAAGACACTAAACTTAAGTACCATTTCAGCAATATTTTGAAGATATATTCATAGGTGCAAAATTATATACATTTCGTTCTTCCGAAGTCAATGAATGTTCATGTCCATTGTTGCATGATAAAAAAAAGTAAAGGTATGGAAAATAAAATATGATTGAATTTCTCAAAGTACAGACTCAAGTACAGTATGCTTGTATGATGCATACCATTTGCAGTGTTATTCAGCTTCAAGTTCTATATTGCAAATTGCATTGTCTAACTAGTATACCAAAAATAAATATGTGTATGTGTCCAATTGGTGGAAGAGCACTTTTAAGAACAGGTTTTTAGCTAACCTAAACACGCTCTACCTTTGAAATATTATACAACAGCATTACTCTAACAGAATTATTATGACAGACCTCTATGTAAGTCTTTATAGAAACACTTTTAACAGTCACAAACCTTTAAATACACATCAAATGTCACACAGCACAACCTTGGTAAAGATACACTGTTTGAATGGTCTGAAAAAATCCTTATACTCATTGCCAGCAAAAATTTACCACGAACATTAGTATTGTAATCCGATTAATTGGCAAGAAAAACACTTTATTGATCTAATTTTTTAATAAAATTAAATTCTAAAATGTTTTTCCACGACAAGTAATCCACAGTTCCCTGACAGATGGGCCACACCCTCCTCGGAGATGTGTATAAGAGATCCGAAGTCAATGAATGTTCATGTCCATTGTTGCATGATAAAAAAAAGTAAAGGTATGGAAAATAAAATATGATTGAATTTCTCAAAGTACAGACTCAAGTACAGTATGCTTGTATGACGCATACCATTTGCAGTGTTATTCAGCTTCAAATTCTATATTGCAAATTGCATTGTCTAACTAGTATACCAAAAATAAATATGTGTATGTGTCCAATTGGTGGAAGTGCACTTTTTTAGCTAACCTGAACACGCTCTACCTTTGAAATATTATACAACAGCATTACTCTAACAGAATTATTATGACAGACCTCTATGTAAGTCTTTATAGAAACACTTTTAACAGTCACAAACCTTTAAATACACATCAAATGTCACACAGCACAACCTTGGTAAAGATACACTGTTTGAATGGTCTGAAAAAATCCTTATACTCATTGCCAGCAAAAATTTACCACGAACATTAGTATTGTAATCCGATTAATTGGCAAGAAAAACACTTTATTGATCTAATTTTTTAATAAAATTAAATTCTAAAATGTTTTTCCACGACAAGTAATCCACAGTTCCCTGACAGATGGGCCACACCCTCCTCGGCCCCACCAGGTTTCAGTTTTCCACGATTTGAAAGGGGTTCCCCTGCGACAGGCCTTCCTGCGGGCGATGGCCCACACATTGGTCCCACCCGTGTTACATATACAAAAGCAAGATTAAAATATCGGATTTTAGTTTAGACAGTGCATCTTTACCAAGAATAAGACTATTATACGGTACACAACACTGCAAATAACATCTAGCTGAAATTATACACTATTGCATACTAATAAAAATGTTTTTAGATAATTGTAAAAAACATAAGTATTGAGACATCTCTAAATTAATAATACTACACAAAAATAAATTGATGTTCATTATATACAATGTTAATAAGGATTGTGCAAATTTTAAAGATGCCCTATTAATTACATTGCAAATATTGTGGCAAAGACAAACTTTGTAGTATCAGCTGCAAAGATAAATATCAAACATGATTCATTTTTTCTATTTTTTACCTTATAAAACAAGTCAGGCACTGAAAAAAGTAGAATTAGAATAAAGCATGGTTGATGCCTTTAATATGCAAATACTGCACAAACATATAAACAAAACATTAATAAAATAATTGGTCTCTAGAAATATTAAGTTGAATTTTGATTATCTTAGAAATGATCATGTATGTAAACAAGAATGGCCGAGCGGTTAAGGCAGGGGCGCATCAACCTACAGCCATAATATCGGCACTGGTTCAAATGGCACGCTTGCCTATGGTTCTGGTGGTAGAACAAGTGTTCTTGGATAAGGACTATAAACCATAGGCCCAGTGTACACAAGGGCTTTTGCGCACTATAAAGACCCACTACATCATTTGAGGCGAGTAGGGGGATACTCCGGTGTAATGGTCCAGACAGCCCCTGTGGTGGACGACGAGAGTTGCTGGTACCGGGTTACCGGGTAGTACAGACATGGAGGGACCCTTGGGGGTGAAGAAAGTTTTAAATAAATGATATAGAAATTTGGTTCATACAATTCTACATGGTTACACACAATTGCAACTTAATAATGCAAACAAATCTTAGGCATTTCTTTAGGCCCTAGTTATTGCTAATTTTATGTAAATTTTTTTTTCTATGATACAGAAATTTAGTTCTATTTAGCACAATGACAGTGCGATTAGTTATTCTCTAACCTTTACCAGTACATAATGGCATGAAGAGAACAAAACCTACTTTATAAAAGCAGCACTAAATACAGAATAGACATTAAACAAACATCAAGTTATTTCTGTTTGCCTTTACCCAACATAATGAAATATTCCCTAATCACACACCCTCTTAAATAAAGAATTCTTTAAAATTTAAATTTGTTCATCCTTACAACAAAAAAATAAATGATGTAACAATGCACATTTCCGGGGTGTCAATTAACTGACCAATCAGATCAGAGTCAGGAATACACGCAGATCCTACAAACACACGTTACCATCACACAAACACGTGCATGTTTTTACAATGCCATTTGGTGGGGACCTTAGCAACAATATCCAAGGGGCGGGGAAGGGGCGGTCCATTATACACTAACATGCTCAAATGCTCAATATATTTTAATACAGTGAGTATTGGAATACAGTTTATTAGGATTATTTATATACTGAGTAAAGACAAATCAACCAATCGACTTCTCAAATTCATTATATACTTTGAATATCAAAGACAACATTACACAATTATGAAAGATGGTAAATTGTATACATTATTTAAAAGGAAAGGATATTTTAGTAATCATTGTTAAGTAATTTAGATTGAGATGTCATAAAAATGGGATGTCATATTAATGTCATCAAAGTTATCTATGACTTCATCAATGTTATTTGATGAAATCACAAATTGTGATGTCATGATGGCTAGCCAAAATACCATAAGTATTTATAATTTATCATCAGAATTTCACCACAAATACTTATTTAATTGTAAACAATATTTAAGATTTCATCGCACTATTTGTTTAAATGACATATTGTACTTAATTATCTTTTCTACTAGATTGTCTTGGTCTCTCTCGAAGGTTGTAATTTCCATTGTGAGTTTCCGTATAATTGGTTCCATTACTGTGACCATTTTGTTCAGCTTTTGGTAGTTTCTTGGTGATATAGGTCTTCCTGAAGAAGTCGGCAAAGAGTACTATATGACTAATGAGGTAGAACGTTAACGTTATCATGTATGGACGGTGTCGTACATCACAGCCGACACGTAGAGTGTTAAGAGTATGCATCAAGATAAACACAAACTGGGCCTGCAAACAACAATACGGCAACGTTAACATGCTGATCTAATAAACACAACAACATTTGCAGATCAGAAAGCAAAACATCAGCTTAGCTCAGGTGGCTAAACTGGTGATAGCATTGTGTGTGCATTGAACCGTGGAGCCCCTAACATAACCTCGGTCCCAGTTCAATTACATCTGCTGCTCCATTTGTGTTTTATATGGAGGGCTGAATTTTTAAATTTTCAATAGCGCATCATCTTAATATCAAGGAATACAAGCATGTTTCACAAACATGGCTACTTTTCTTTATACTTTTTAAGGTTTCACACCCTAGCAACAATATCCAAAAGTGGGGAATATATTAGTGGAAAGGTCCACACTGTGTAAAGAAAAATAAAGTTCTATTCCCAAGGACAAGCAAAGTGGACAGCACATGAATCAAACACTGATGAGAGGATGGATGATTCTATCTTCTTTGTAGAATGGCAACAATCTGCTTATTAAGGTAAGTATTCACAAAGTTTCTTACCAATTGCAGGGATGTTAGATATTTCTTCCACCACAAGTGCTTGCGGACTGCTGGTCCACAGGCTGAGAGTAAGTAGTAGCCATACATCACAACATGAATGAAGGTGTTTACTGTTGCACACATATATGCTAAGGTGAAATAAGACAAAATAACATTAATATTTACCGTTTCTTTCAACCTGTGACCTACTAATGTTGCAAAAAATATTGTACATTTACATTCACATTACCAGTACAGTACTGTTCTTGTAAATAAGTTAACAGGTTGTTATGTATATATTTTTTATAGTGATAGATTGTTTCAAGCAATACCAAAGAGAGAGCAGCTTAGCTCAGTCGGCTAATCTGGTGGTAGCCACGGTGTGTGCGCTGAACCGTGGAGATCTCTAGGTCCCCGGTTCAATTCCCATCGCTGCCTCTCCTTGTGTGTCAGCTAGAGGGCTGAAATACAAACAAGTTACAATAGCGCACCATCTTTAGTATGAGACGTTTAAGCCATTGGTCTCATGTGCATCTATGGCCCATGTGCATGTTAAATAACGCAGTACACTCTTCGGAAAAGAGTAGGGGATTGTCTCCCGGTGTACTATCCAATCAATAAATCCAATCCAATCCAAAACCAAGTCTTTTATTATTTCCATAGCAACTTTCTTTACAGCTGTAGAGCAACTTTCAAATACCACCTCCAAACCCACAAGTAATTAATAACCAATAAATTATATATAAATTAAGCACATAGCACCTTGAGCATTACTGCAGTGGATATGTATGCTCTATGTCTTACTATTATATCATTATCAATATTATGTTTAATTACTTACAGTTACCACCGGCAACCCAGCGAACGCCAACCCACCAGAGCATCACCATTGTTGAGTGATGGTACACATGCAAGAATGAGATTTGCGTATGTTTCTTGCGGAGTATAAAGAATACCTAACACACAAAGCATTAAAAATTCATTGAGAGTAGTACAATTCATTGAAAGTATGATTCTATTTTCCTATGGATGATACTAATACAAATGCAAAACACATTAGGTGAGACTTTTGATACCTTGTTTCGTATACAGTAGAACCCCTCATTTACGTACAGGACGGGCCCAAAGGTGTTCGTAAAAATCATTCGTACGTCAAATCGGGGGTGTGTGAAATTCCCATGTATTTACACTACCGATATGCTAGGGTGGGCTAGGCTAGGCCTGGACTTAAATTTTGTTGGACTAAAGCCAAAACTCCAACTTGCGCTCGAAAGAAATTCAAAATAAAGATCATAATAATGTACAGTTCTATACATACTTGTTAATGTGTATAGAAACTTTATTCTCTCTTTCTCAGGCAAATAATATGACTTATCGTCTAGCTTTCGAAGGAACACAGCCCAGCGGGCACCGTAACAGGACGAGTAACCAACGTTTTTCACTCGATCCATGTGGTTGTGCCGTCATGTAAATACCCTGTACAGAATAACCCGGAAACCAGGGGTTCTCAACTTTTTAAAAGAGGAGCGCTGATTGGCTGTAGACACGGCGCTTGGACTTTTTTTGTATGCAATACGATTGTTCTACGCCTGCATTTATTTAATGAATAATAAAGTTATAAAAAGAAAATGTGGGTGTCAGTGTCTTATTTTATGGGGGAAATAATGAAATGGTAGATTAACGTTAGTTAAATTTGATAAATAAATTCCATTTATAATTAGGGGGTTCATTAAATTACGATATGAGAGTGTGTATTCAGAGATGAATAAATCACGCGCCTATCGATATGCCGACAAGTTACGCATTGGGCGGAGTTTTCTCATGGCTGCAGACAGTATGATCGCCGTGTTGAATGTCGGTGTATTCAAAGCACACTATCTGTAGTAGAGATCGCTGATAGTGTACAGCAAACCGTCTAAGACCGAGTGAATAAACTCTAGCCTGCGTCTAACAATTAATTCTTGATACGGGTGTGTGGTTTGTTCATGAAATAGGAACTTTATTTATGACAACAATTACATGATATTACGTTCGTAAAATCAGGAATTCGTAAAATCGGGGTTCGTAAATGAGGGGTTCTACTGTACTTACTTTTTTTTAAGATTGCCAGAGGAGGGCAGGAAAAATAGAAAAAAAATATTTTGTTTTCTTATTAGCAAATAGTTTTGCCAAAAACATCTGGACAGAGGACAAAATAAAAATAAAATATTTTATTGGTGAATAAACAGTGTAGTAATGGAATGGTTAAATGCTTTAAATTCATATGATTAGGAAGAAATATACATCTTATTTTTGGAGATTTCAAGGCAATGGCGGGCGTAATAAAAATAAAGAAAATTGTTTATTTTTTCTGTAATTTCAATTTTTTCGCACTAACTGGCTAAAAATAAAACTTTATTTTTATTCTAAATCATCATTATTAGCAGGTGGCCGGTTCCCTACACAATGCAAGACTTTTTTATACCTTCTTTATCGAACCTGCTGCCCGCAGTATAACTTTGAAAACTACTATATTTAAAAAAAAATCTAATTAAAATATCTGACCATAGTCACTTTCAGCCATTCACCATAATCACACCATACTATATAAAAATACTGTTATCATGCATATGCATTAATCTTACTACTGAAATATGTTGAGAGCAGTATTTTCTGTTTATTTCTTTCTTTTGCATTTGTTGATTTGATGAATGATGGTTAAATGACGTTTTAATCGAAACATATTTTAAAAATTAAAAGTTGCTGTTATATCTATCCGCTGCCTAGCATTCTTATTTCGAATTGTTGTTTGGAAACCTGAATTTTAAAGAAGCTGTTAAAAAGTTTACAGCACATTTATTATATTTTAACAATGACGATGGTCTCCCTCTGGGTCGGACTCCTTTAGCAGACTTAAATTAATACATCCAATGCAATTACGCCATCAGTGTTTAACCTATTCAGTTTTCTTAAATTTGAAAATATACCATTCTGTAAAATCTATACTAATTTCTTTTAGCTCTGCTTTTTCCTATTTTATTTATTCTAAAACACAAGAGTCATACCATTTCAAAATGATAAGCCTAAATTACAATCATTTTGAGGTGATTATAACAGATTATGTTATCATAATTTCTATTTGACATGAGATAACCATATTTATAGACGTCTTTTAAAGCTAACCCAAATCACCCCACATAAAGATAGGATAAGTTATGTGAGGGAACCCAGAAAAAGCATTTTTACAGTTTCCTTTCTGGGCATTTAGCTGCCTATTCTAAAATCAGTGGAGATTGATGTGGATTCCTGTGAGGACCTTAGTTAAATGGACCCTCTATAGGGGAACTTGGATCTCGTCGGGTAATCTCTGGTGCCGCCATTTAATAAATCATCTCGTTCTTAGAATGGTGAGCATATAATTTTGTAAGAAATGACAAGGAGCTCCAACTTACCGTATCTGTCAATTCAATGATCTTAGAAAAGAAGAACCACCATGTAGCATTTGCTAACTATACAAAAAAAAAACAATATAATTCATAAACATAAATTTTATTTGAAAAAATGAAATTATGCATGCTGGAATAACAGATTATTACAGCAGCATAATGTAAATGAATCACTCCAGTTTACTTATTTGTAACATGCTGTAAACATGGTTAACATAATATTTTTAAAAAAGTATTTTTTAAACAATTTCTGTAGATTCCTATGCTATAATTAAAGCTGTTAACCAAAGTTAACACTTTCAAATTTCACTAGGCTTATAAACCCTCTACAGTGTAAAAGCAAGTAGTCTTTAAATATTTCACATGACCCCTATATATTGTCCAGCAAAAGTGACCCTTGGATCTTCTTTAATAAACAAATAAATGAGGGGTATTAAATTTTCCCCAAATCAACTGTCTGTAATAAACAAGGTGTAGGTACAGTAGACAATCAACACAGCCTTACTGTACTGCACTGCAGGTCCCAAGACATGCTACAGCATAGATTAATAAGGTTCTAGGCCACCGGAACCCATACAATCACAAATCACAAGATTTTTGGCTTTACCTAAATTAAAAGAAATATTTTGACCCCCCTACAAACCAAAAGAGTGAGTTATGGAGAGATAATAATAAATACATCTTTGCCTAATTAATGGTAGCTAAAATATAATACTTGGCTGTTTTGGAAAAATTATATAGGAAGAGAAACCGAAACTATAATTAAAAACTAAATATTATAATGAGCATCTACTACCAACACAAGGTCATTAAAAAACGTATAATGAGGTAAAAGAAATATCAACAAACTGACGTTGAGAGTTTAGCTACATACAGTACATCAACAATATTTTGAATCTCCAATCAGTGATGTAGTTATTGTGGGCAGGGCCACCCAGCCATGAAGTTTTCCACCCAGTCTAAAGCTAATTTCATGGCTCTCCACCCACCCTTATTAACCCACTTTTCCATCCTTAAAATCCACTCTTAATATTTAGAGTTTACTGATGTTATCACCCTTAAAATGTGTCTCACCCACCCTTAGTTTTGAACAGCTACTGTACAACCATGCTTACATGTCTTTCCTATCATTATATTCTTTCCTATTCCTAATCAACCTTTCAAACATACACTTATAGTAAGTCAATTTTTATGATCCGATTAACTTTCTGGAGCATTTTGTGTCTGAGTGCGAGGACATGAAGCATAACTAATTTCACATATAAAGTGTTCTGCTTAGTAACATAATATTAATAATGAATGTTTACTATTTGATATATTCTTCTTTTATATATAGTTAAAAATGTAGGCCTCTGCTAAAATGAACATTATTAACAAAAATTTAATGTTTAGTACTATACATACATGGATGTTAATGCAGATGTAGGCAAATACATGCATTGACAGTATATTTGTGTACACAGTTAGAATCAACAGACACCGAGTCTTGGCCTTTGGATCATACATTACACAATACAACTGTTCTATATTGTATTTATCTAACATTTTAACCCTTGGTTTGTCTAATATTCCTCAATACCCAAGTGTAGAAAACAAATAAGTAGGGTGTATTAAAACACAATTTACTTTCAATGAATATATTCTTGAAACTGAGGTCAGAGACATAAATTAAATTGGTTAAGCTTGAATTTAAAATTAAGTACACTACATGCCTGTTTAAACCAGTGGGGTTTTAAACCCCCCTATTTTACCAGTTTACTACTGTAAGAGTATTTTACCATAACTTTGTTTATTAAAGAAACATTTTTGAGTTAAATTTGGCATCCCATGAACCAGGTTATGGGCCTACACTACAGTAGTTGCATTACAGAAATCGGTTGGCCAATAAAAGTGTTCGTAAAAATGTACATAGTTAAAAGACTTACCCTGATGGCCTGTGGGTCATTTGAATAGTCAACCTTGTTACAGAAAACATCAAAGTCTGGATTAAAAACTGTTGACATTAAGAACTATAAAACAAATAAAAATAATCAATATTAGCATAAAACATTCAAAAAAATTAAAAACATAATTCAAATAATTTATTAAAAAGCTTTGTCATGTTCTAATATAATTTTTCTTCTAAGGAAACTTCCTTTGTTATAGCATGTGACTCCTTCCCTCATAGTAACAATGATGATCAAACTGTTAACAATAGGAGGTATACCCTCTAAATTCCTGGGGCTGGATTCATGAAACTAGAAATCAACTTAAATTTCTCTTAAGTCAATATTTTTACTTAAATCAGAATTATTAAAATTGCTTAGCTTACAAATTGCTTGAAAATTAAGAAGTCGATTGTACGCATGCACCATCTAAGACGATTTTTAAGCTAAGATTTTAATAAATAAGCTTAAGATATTTGCTGAGGAACATCTTAACTTTTTTGACATTTGCTAAGCTGAGATTGATAAATCCCAGGATTGGTTTTTAAACTATAGGTTGTGTCCGAATATAGCCAGACGTTTACAGCAATGTACGTACAATATAATATTTAGTACTTCAGGCATTGTTACTAATAGCTGCCTTAAGGGAAATTAAACAATGGAGAAATTAGAGAACAATTGAAAAAAACGATGTTAAGGGGAAAATAACATGATGTTAAGGGGAAAATAACAAAAAAAATATTCCTCTTAAGTCCAATTTAGTGAAATTATTATTATTATTACGGTTATTATTATTATTATTATTTATTTAATTAAGTGCACAAATCATGCACAAAGGATTGTCAGTAGCGAATATACTGTATCACTGTCCTATAGTTGACAATCCCTTACACAAGACAAACATACACACACAATGCTTTACACAAACTAAATCTGAATATGTGGCTTAGAGTGTGGGGTTGTTTTGGTTGTGAGAAAAAAATCCTGCAACTCTGACAGGAATTAAATCCAGGACCCTGGGATTGGAAGGCAAGCATCTTAACCAAGTTGGTCACAATATAATTACATACTTTGATAAGATCCTCTTTCTTTGTCTGATGAAACAGTGACTGACCCGGCCTTAACCATTTATGCATTTTTAATCGAAAACTGCTTGCACAGAAAAAAATGTTCATGAAAAAATTAGTTGAATGAATGGTGGGTCGCCAAGTTAGCTACAGTATGCTGAAACATAAGATTGCCATATTAAAAAGTTTTAATATCAGGGCTCTGAATCTGCCAGATATATTTTATACATTAGAAGAATTCATTTTATGACTTGCCAACCAATAGTATCATCCAAAAATTGGATATATTTCCCTGTATTTTATAATCTTATTCACCTTTATTAACTTTTTATTTTGCTTTTCTTAAAATTTATTTTTTTTGTATTTTCTTCTGGTAAAAGCATACTTCAATAATTTTGGATGTAACTGTTAATTTTTCTTTGTATCTTTGTCATCATTTTTATATTTCTTCTCTGTGTCTGTTTGTTTCTTCTTGTCCACGTCTTTTCAAGCCTGTAAGTAGCGATTTATTTTTCGCTGTTGGTGTGGATTTGAAATAAATCAATTAATATTTTGATTTTTGTTTAACTTACCTCTTTAAAAACAAAAGCATTCAATAAGATGAGGCAGGCGTTATAAGTTACCATTATTCGATTCAATTTAAAAGGTTTATAATTCTCCATGATCTTAGGTCCATACCAAACTCCTAGTAGATATACGATTGCGATGGTGTACGATGGATATGGACTTGGTATCAAAAACCAATGTTTAGTTCGAACATCTGCAACGGTAAATGTAAAATTTGAATTTGAATTAGGCCCATGACAACCAGTGGTGCATTTAAGAGGGGGGGGGGGCTGAAATGGCCTGCCCCCCCCCCAAAAAAATTTTTTTTCAAAATTATAAAAAAAAATTATAAAAAAGGCCAAATTATAATCAAGTTCAGGTCTGAGAGTGCCATTTCGATCCATCTAGAGGTGCCATAATCATAAATTTTCTTACATCTGCCCCAACCATAGTGGGGCTGAGGGGGTCTACACTCTCCATCTGTGAAGTCCCTCCCAGGGCCCCCTCTATTTCAAATTTCTGGATCCGCCACTGGCAATCCCCGGTGTAGTGCCTACCATTGTCAGTCCACTGGGAGACAATATCCTTCCTAATCATTACAAATAATTTACTTTCTCTAGTTCTTTTTCATGCACTTAATGCATACCAGTATTATATTATGCACACAGGATCAATGGCTTATATTTCCATCCAAAGGATGAGGCAATTAGAGTAAAGGTCTTAAACAATGACAGAAGGCATGGGTGTAGGGGAAGGGGGTTGTGTTGTCACCCATAGTGGCAAACTACAGTAGTTCCACTATAAGTGGTTTACAAACAATACTGAAAATGACCATTTAGCTTTCATTGGAATATGAATTTAGCTTCGCATTCTAAATTTTCACACCTTCCACATACCCCGAGTCAGAAACCAGCCTACGCCCCTAAAGGAAATATGATGATATGTTTTGAACTTGGTCCATCTCCCACTAAATCCTATCCCTTGCAGCTTCTCTCTCTCACATCAAATTAAGAATACTGTAATTGTTGCTAATGTCTTCATTGCATGACATACAAATGTCAAATGTATCAGTAATGCTTTCAGAGTGTTATCAATCTGTAAAAAATCCTGCTTTATTTCGGCTAAGTACATTATTAAACGTATCAAGTTTTAATTTGCTTATCTGATTGCTTAAAATTTCATGTGATGAAAGAATATAAATGTGTTGTTTACAACAGTTTGGCAGATTGTGACAGCGGTTAGCTAAACAAAATACACTATGTTTTGCTACAGTACTTGCCTATAATGCACTCTCACTTCATACACTATAATTATTTTTGTTTGGTAACAAAATTGTTTCACCTGCCAAAATCCTTTCAGCAAACCTATATTCTTAAATTATTATTATTGTATTATTATAAATCTTACCTGCAACTGATTCTGCCCAGGACCAGAATTCAACTCCTCGATTCACAAGCCAATCCATTTTAATGCTCTGAAAATAACCATTTCAAACAGGCAGCAATTAGTTAATGTTTCTGAATGTGACTGTAGCCTGCTTCAATTTTGTTTTATGAGTGAAGAAAGGTTGAGTGAAAGGGTTGGTGCCTTTTTCTGCTTTATACAACAGATATGGCATTAAACAACAGATGTTTATAATTCAGAACATATAGCTTAACATTTTACTATGTTGATTACAGATTACTACTGTAGTAACAATCATGTAATTGAAACACATTAAATTATTAGAAATTATTATTATTATCCTTATCGTTTATATGTAGTGTTCAATAGGAAGAATTTTTGATGTGTGGGGGGGGGGGTGAGTTTTAAAGGAAGCGAGTCTTAGGCTAGGACCATCTAGGGCCCCTGGTTGGGTCAAGGGGCAGAGGTGGTGCGGTAGAAGTCTTGGGAAAAAGGGAGGAGGGGTGTGAGTTTTCAAGAAAGTGAGTCTTAGGCTACGGCCATCTAGGGCCCCTGTTTAGGTCCATGGGCAGAGGTGTTGTGGTAGATGTCTGGGGAAAAAAATATGACAAAGTAGCATTTTGAGGGACTTACTTAATTTGTAAAAAATTATAAGAACGGCAATGAGGGCACAAATCCCAGTGGTTGTCTATTTTGGGGTTAGGTTTCGGGTCACTACACCGAGAGTACATTCTGCTTTTGACATGGTTTGAAACAACAACACGTGAGTAAATCCTGAATCCAAGAGATAATATCCAAAATCCAAGAGATAATAATCCAGAGATAAAATCCAAACCTTCGATCAGTAGCAACTCGTAAATATCAAGAATTCTTTCCTATACGCTATCAATGATCTTTCGAAAAAGAATGAGGATGACGCATAGTTGCGGGATCGCTTGTGCTTGGACCCAAGGCTGACTGTTCCGTTTCTTTTTCGATGGGTGCTCTCTTTTGAGAGAGATTAGTTCATCCAGATAAGTATTCATGAAGTAGACTCGTAAATTTTTATCCATTTGTGTGTTGTTGGAGACGTGGATGATTAACGTTTTATGACATTATGTCCATTAGATCTGTAAGCCTACATTATAAATATAACATTGCTTTTTGTTCATATGGATCAATCTATAATCACTGAAGCTGATTAATTTCCAACAAATTTTGTTATACAATTATTAAAAATATAAAAAAAAAACCAGCTACAGTAGAAGAGCTGGCAATAAAATCAAATGATATCATAACATTTACGATAATTGGGAACGATGGTTTAATACATACATATTTACATATGTAAAATATTTGATAATGAAAATTGGAGGCAAACAATTTCCATCATATATATGAAAGCACTGTAATAGACGAGGAAACAGGTGATAAAATACACATTAATAATGGCTGAGACTCGCAAAGTCTGATACACTTCCCCTATAAAGATAAGGTTTCAAAAAGATTGTAGTAATTTTGAAATCTGCAGCATACAAAAGGCAAAATATTTACATACAGCATTTAGCATTAATTTCCTAACCCACCTCTTAACTTAAACAGGATGCAATTCCATAAAAAACGCAGGAAGACGACAGTGGCAACGGAGCGTTATTATTGATGATCTGCCCAGACAGCAAATGACAATCAGACCGTGTCACTTCATCAAGAGCTTATCGCAGAGAACAGAGATGGATTCGTCGGCTGACAGTTGTATGACCGTCGTACAACACAATGTGTGCCCGCCTTTTAAATTTCTGTTGGTTATCTACATGGTTTGGTCACCATACCACGATCGTTTATATGAATCATTCTAATTTCCTGCATTTTGGAATTTACCATTCTTACAAAGAGGTGAGCTGCCATCTTCAGGTTAAAAAAGCGGACAATTGCATTATAGTACTTTGCTGCTAAAGCCAAATGCACATCGCTAACATTTTGCCAATGCATGTTTTGAAAAAAAAGGAAATATTTTTCCGGTCCGACAATTAACAGACAGTATAGCATTAGGCACATGCAAGGGGATGGAGAGCCGTCGACTACGGCAATTCGGGTTATGTGCGCAAGTATTTACTGTGGTCTTCATGCGCGGATAAGCACAGAACCATCCACCCTTCCTTCCGTGCTGTTGTGTCAAGTGCTCAGAGAGGACGGAGAGAGATTCTTTGGCGGACAGTAGTACAAGTCCTATAGGCTATATATTTATATCTAATATATTAAAAAAAAAAAAAAATCAGTATTTAAACGTAGGCCTCTAAGCCTGCTTTCTTATACAACACTGTTGGCCTAGTTCTACTACTTAGCTTGAAGACCACATCGCACAAAGCCATGGTATTGAATGCTTGAGTACAGTAACAATTTAGGAGTTCAACCTCTGTAGAACAGAAGAAGCACAGTAAGTATTACTTACTTTACTACTTAAAGTAGGCCCACAGCACAGTTACTTCCATTTAATTAGCAGCCCAAGGATGCACAAGTGATCGCAGATATAAAATTAGGTGTGCGCAAATCACTCCCCCCATCGTTAAGGAGTAATACGGTGGTTTCATCTATTCTTCTAGGCTATTCATTCTACTAGCTAAGACTTTACACTGCTAAGTACATCCTCACTTGTCAGTGCCGGGGTAGTACTCCCAGGGAGTTGTTATATAGTGAACTCCCTGGTAGGTACTCCTAAACCAAATATCTATTCTACACATTGCAAGAAAGCTCCTTCCCCATCTTTCTATAAACTCCTTGGCTATAAAAAAAAAAAAAAAAAAAAGACTTACCAAAATAGAGATACGTTTCGTTCAACAGGAAAATTATATTATTTTGGGTTTTCTCACAGTTTTCTTCACACTTCGACGACTTCTTCCGCCGACAACCTTTTTCTATGTGCCTGGTCTGTTGATTAGTGCCGTAGCTGCAGCAACGCTATCGTTCCATTCACCCGGTAAGAAGGTAGTCCGTCCAGCCAGTTTGTGGACGATTTCATTTTTTATAGGGCTTATACATTAGTTGTTTTGTTTAAATAAAATACGATGAATATACTATACCACATACCTTATCTTATAGCTTCCTTCATCAACGTGTCACTTAATCTAGTTTTAATTATTTTATTGAAAAAACCTAAGCTAATATTTCATTTTTTATACTGATTAAATATCTTACCATAGCAATAATGTCCAATGGCGACCGAGCTTTCTAATGGTTCGATCGAAAATATCAGTCTTCGAAAGCATGATAGAAGACTTGGATTGGCTCATTCGATGAATGGGGATTATCCCTTTGTGCCCACTGGCCGCTGCAAGCTGGTCCCTGTTGAAATGTGGTTGTTGTTGTAGCGTTTACACTAAGCAACAGCAAGCAAGCAACCGGCATCAAAACAGGTAAGCTTAATTTTGGAGCAACAGTGATATCAAGAATGTATTAAGAAAAATTATTGTTAATATAAAAATGTTATCTTTAGTAACCATATTATTTAAGTGCCCGTTGTCAACAGTGCTTAAGTCAGATGTTAGCCCACGCCCATATTTTAGTACGTGATGGGTGGGTCAATGATATTTTTATAAGCAGTATTTGCATGCCGCCAAGCTGAACGCATAACTGGGCATAAAATTACAAACCGAATGCACTCATCGAGGCGTATTACACTGCGTTGTATCATCTGCACTGCAGCCTAAGATCAATTTATTCTATGAAATATTTATTGTTTGATCCAGCATGTTACTCAAGTGACCAAATAACGAATATATAAATAATACATTTCCAAAGCAGGCCAGACATATTTCGGTTTAGTATAATGACAGCCTTCAGATGTATCTCGAGTAGATAACTAAATAACATGAATGTCACTCCAAAAACTAACAAGGCTTAGGCTATTTTTATTTTTTAAATTTCGCTTTTTATTTAATCATCATCAGACATGATGATCATTATTCTGATGGGATGCTCAACAGGGGCGGATCCAGGGAAAGGCGAAAGTTGGGAGGTCGGGGGAATTCCCCCGCGAAATGTTTGTGTTCTAGACGCCCGAAAATAACATTTGAGGCATTCTGGCTTGTCATTTTTTTCTTTTCCTTTCTTTTATTCTTTTTTTTTCACCCCTGCTTAAATACAAGAGAAACGTAGAATAAAATGGCTGTGTCAGTTGTTGGAGTGACATTCATTTGTACCTAATTGCACATCCTAATCAAGTACTGTGGATAAAGATTACAACTTTACTATCCTTTTTTTTTTTTTACATATAGTCAGCAGATTCGTAATTGGCTGGATAATCAGTAAGGTCTCTAACTTAGCAAAAATCATTCTTTCTATCTGATCGTTGAAGGTTATCTAATATATATAACAAATTTTGATTCATTAAATGAGCTAAATTATTCATTATGTTTCAGACAATGGAGCTGTTACAAGATGCTATATCCCACCTGGCCAAGGCCTATGATGACATGATAGCAATAAGTGGTAAGTGTATGTGGCAAAGATAAGCCACATCAGTCACTCATCGCAAAACATGATTTTTTGGTTATTAATACAGAAAACAGAAAAAATGAGAGCTATGAATTGGTAAAAGAATCATTTAAATTCGTCATTTTGCTATGAAGTTATAGGAGTTTAAACATACAGCTGTATAAAGAAATATTTGAGAAATCAGCCTTCAAAGTTTACGATTTCAGGGATTTCTTAGGCAGAAACCATCACCAAATTGTTAAAAATGTTTATTTTAATATTGAAAATAGGGAAAATAACAGCATATCTTGATGTATAGATATACAGTATAAAGGTTAGTTTAGTGCAAAGATGTGTATAAGAGACAGCTCTAAGCCTGCTTTCTTATACAATACTGTTGGCCTAGTTCTACTACTTAGCTTGAAGACCACATGGCACAAAGTCATGGTATTGAATGCTTGAGTACAGTAACAATTTAGGAGTTCAACCTCTGTGGAACAGAAGAAGCACAGTAAGTATTACTTACTTTACTACTTAAAGTAAGCCCACAGTTACTTCCATTTAATTAGCAGCCCAAGGATGCACAAGTGATCGCAGATATAAAATTAGGTGTGCGCAAATCACTCCCCCCATCGTTAAGGAGTAATACGGTGTCATGGTTTGGTGGGGGCCAAAAATCATGAAATCTCATGAGCCACTGGAGATGAAAAGAATCATGATGGCTTACAACTTTGGTTGTGTATTCTTATCATTTTACATTGTTAAGGAGGTGAGTTGAACACATTTTTAATATTGTTAAAAGTTATTTATGTTTGATGAGATGAAATCAACATATTTATGGAAATTACTAGAGCTCTATATATTGAAATTATATATTGAAATTAAGCATTGAAATAGAAAAAAATTATTTGTTGTTACTTACATATAAAAATTTAATGAAAAATATTCAATTTGTTGAATGCTTTTTTCTGAATTTCTTTAATTTTTTAGTGTGTTCTATGTGGTTATATGGCAGGCTACAGAGTACAGTGTCAACCAGTAACATACTCTTATGATGAGTGGGAAATGAGGGTGAGTAAAAGCTTAATTATCAGGTGGAATACTTGAAGGCACAAAGAAAGCTTGAATGCAGTGCATAGCACCTTGCCCTTTCTTAGTGGTGTGATCAATAATGCTGCCTTTCCCTTTGTCAGCGCTTTGAATGAAACAATTAGAGAAAAAGTAAAGTAAATATCTGCATAATTTGAATGGATGCCATAGGACACTGCAATCAATAATAGTAAGCTTATTACCATATATCACCCAGTAATATTTCGGTCATACTCTATATAGTATTACAGACTTGAGCACTACTGTAGTGAATATGTGCACTTTATAAATCTTATTATAATTTATTATTATTATTATTATTATTATTATATCTATTATTATTATTATTACTTATTATTATTATTTTTATTTATTATTATAATAATTATTATTATTATTATATTTATTATTATTATTATTATTATTTATTTTTATTTATTATTATTATAATAATAATTATTATTATTATATTTATTATTATTATTATTATTTATTATTATTATTTTTATTTATTATTATTATTATTATTATTAATTATTATTATTATTATTTATTATAATTATTATTATTATTATTATTATTATTATTATTATTATTACAGTACAGGCCTCCATCCAATTAAAGACCACTTTTGGGACCTGAATTTTCACGGTCTTTAGCAGTTTTGGTCTTTAATTAGAACAATTATTATTATGAAGATAAAAGATAGATGTTCATTTGGGGCTGTAGAAAGGTGTTCTTCAATTGGAGGGAGATCTGTATTTGTAATGTTTCTATCTTTATATCTAAATTTACTAAATGTATACATGGCAGTGTGTTCTTATGGTTAGATCAACTCCCTGGTTAGACATACAGTACCTCTAGCTGTTGGTTCATTAGTGCATAATAATTTCTATTGTTGTATAGAAATTCTATTGTTATTATTCAACACTATTTTCATTATTGCTTTTTGAAATGCAGACAAAGAGAGCAGCCTTTTTTTTATGTCATTCCATAAGACAGTTACAATAATTCTACATATCAATATTATATTTTAGGATGTACCTAGTAACTCATTAATTAATTTGTTAATTGAGGATTTTTTACGATATTATTATTATAATTATTTTGTTATTATTATTATCATTACTATTATTATCATTATTATAATAATAAGTAAAGGTACTAAGCGCCTCTCTATGGCTGCTACAATAGGCATGGACCACACCCAATACCCAATTCAGCATGATGATGATGTGAGTTATGGGTTATTCTCCTATCTTTACGTTTTTACCCTTTATTGTCATTAATATTATTATTTAAGAAAAAAAAAAGACAAAATTGAATATATTTAGTGGATCCAGATGATTTTTTTTCAGTAATATTATCATTGTTGTTACCTTTATCATCATCATCATTATTATTATTATTACTACTGTATGATTGATAATTATTAATTATTCTTTTCATATTCCTAGATTGCAAAGGCCATGTGGTGGTTTTACTTCTCTAAGTGCATTGAAATGCTTGATACATTCTTCTTCATTGTACGGAAGAAGAACTCTCAGCTAAGCTTCCTACATGTTTATCATCATTCAAGTATGTTCTTACTATGGTGGATTGGGGTCAAGTGGGTTGCAGGGGGCCAATGTAAGTACCTCACCATTTCACATTTCTTAAAGATAATTTTAGTACACATATGGTGTACATTTGTAACCAGAATAAATATTATGCACATACATGTTTATGAGCCTTAACCTTTGACATTGACATACACAATTGAAACTACAAGATGGTTTATAATTAAAATGAATATGTATCTTTACTATATTTGCTTTTACAAATATACAGTATTGGTAACCTTGATTAGGGTAATGATTTTGAATTATATCCATTGATGTTTGTCGGATTTCAAAACAAGTTACATTGGGAATTAACATATGGTGGCTCATTCACATAATTAAATAATAGACATATAATAGCCTAGCCTGTTTAATGCGCATACTATAACTGTCTTCTCCAAATTGAAACATTTTTACTGGTCAATTTGTCCATAAATATTTACCTATGCGAGCAGGATGAGGTGTTACCCCTTGAAAAAACAACACCGTCATCCTAGGCATATACTGGAATGATGTTCATTTATTGAAAGAAGGCCAGCCTAGACTATTTAGACCTAATCAGTGGTTTGTTTTTTTAATTGTATAGACACAACATTTTTGCTTGTTGGCTTCTGTTATTTTACCCATAAATTGAAAGCTAAAACAGCTTCGGAAGAAAACTGTGTAAAGATATCCGTGCTTATGTGATTATTTCATTCATATATATTGCTTGTTTTTTAACCAATTTATTTTAAATATGTCACATTTTGTTCTTTCAGCTTGGTTTGGGGCGATGATGAATTCCTTTGTTCATTTTATAATGTACAGTTATTATTTCCTGGCAGCCTGTGGTCCCGCTTTCCACAAGTATCTCTGGTGGAAAAAGTACCTTACACAGTTGCAACTGGTAAATAGTTCATGAATATTTATAAACTTCAATGATTATTCATAGAATTGATAATATCATGTATTTTATTTTTTTTGCCTTAATTTGTCCAAACAACAAGTACTACCATATAAAAAATAAATATAAAAGTTAATGAGTTTAGGAAAAGCAAAGACTAAAAATTGTATGCTAAAAGCTAATAAATAAATTAATTATACAACAATTATACAAATGAAACATTAGATATTAAATTTATTATTGATACACAGAGAGGACCAGGATTTCCAAGTCTCCCACGAGTTGGGGCGGGGGGTCTCCCAGAATTCGGGACCAGCACCTCACTACTTCAAGCAAGCAAAAAGCTCTTGGATACTAATTCATTTCCCGCAAAATTCATAATTTGCATGTTTTTAACCTCATTCAACAAGATCGCCTGGAGGTGGCTTCTTCCAACTTGGGAACCCTGCAGTACTGTATAGTATATCAAACAGTATCAAATCATAATAATAATAATATGAATACAGGTACTTATATAGTGCACAATTGGCCTCAAAGAATCAGTATGCTCACAGTACTTATTTCACTATAAGACTAAAATAAATAAATAAATAAAAGAATAGATAAGATAGATGTATTACTAATATTGTCTTGGTAATTAACTACGAATTATAATTTTTATATCTCGTATTTTTATTTACAGACACAATTTGGTATCGGTTTTGTACATTGTTGTCAGTCATTATACTTTGATTGTGACTTCCCGAAGTGGATGCACTACGCTTTATTAGTTTATGCCACAAGTATTACATCACTATTCCTCAATTTCTACATCCACGCTTACATCAAGAGGGAGCGACTGCCCAAGTTGGAGAGCATGACATGTATGAGGGCGTCTGCACAGGGAGACGCCAACGGTAATATCAGTGGATCCGTCAAAACAGCTTGTAATGGGGATACAAAAGATTCAGTTGTCAACAATGGTCATATAGAAAATAAGAAATCAAAGTAAAGAGTTTTAGGATTATAAAGTTTTGCACACACAAGAGCAATCGGCTTTTTGTCTAAGTTTATTTGTAGCAGTGACATAAGTAAGTAAATTTGGTTTTAATACAATCACTACACGTTATTGCCGACAGCTTTCAATGATGCTGATTGGCTGGTCGACTAGCGACAGTGTAGGGATTTTAAGGAAACCATGCCTTACAGTACTCCAATGTGCGGTAATTGGACAGGACTATGATATGTGTGCTGTGCCAAATGCTGCCCCTAAAATATTTTATATTTTCTGCCACTGGTATTAAAAAATAAAAAAATGTGTGTGAAGTAGTGTATGAAAGATTTCTGTTTACATCTAGCAAACTATGAAACGTGAACATGTTTATTCTAATACATGTAAGCATAAGCTAGCATTAAACAGGAAGTTTTAGTTAATTGTACTCGGTTTAGGTTGTTCTCACACTAGCAAGTATCAAACACAGTGCCGCAAGTGTTAAAAGATTTTTTAAAATGACCTCACAAGAGTGCAATCTGCTATACGCCAACTCTCACAAGTACATTTTATCTCGAAAAAATAAAGTGCTCTTATATAAGCGCCAGACTTTGATGTAATAATGCCAGTATTTTTTTGTGAATAGCACTGGCATGATTAGGCCATCTAGCGTTTAGACATTGCATTACCATTGCAATCTTGATTCTAAAGTTATATTTAGACTTTAGTTATTTCCGGGTCAGTGTCTTTTGAACAGTATTCACTTAGTTTGTAAATAAATGCTTATTTATCCACTACATTCAAATTTGTTGTATTAATTAGTCCAAAGTCTATTTTTATTCAGCTAATATTAGTACCACCATATTAGGAATGCTAATTTAGGGCACAATCCCAGTCCACCAGCTGTTTTTGGCAGCTGTTAATTGTAGATAATGTGCAATTTTGTTTTTTAGAGTTGTTAGGCAGCTATTTTATACAGTAAACATAAGAGTGATAGAAACATGAGTTATGGAACCAACAGAAGCAATTACTGCTATTGGTCAAACATGAACCATGTTTATGATAAACATTTCTTTTAAACAGATAGTTCTAATTTGTTGGAACATCAAACAGTATAAATAATATAGGATGTTGTTAGATCTCTCGTCTTTGCAATAGCCAATCATGAACAAACACATAAATTTACATACTACAGGTATATAGACTGAACCTCCAGTGGCGGCACCATATTCTCCGACAAAAGCATTAAGGTCCCAAAAGGATTTAAAAGTAAGCACCTCTGGATGCCTGGAATGGCACTCTCAGGCTGTAAAAACGGGGAGTCATCTTCTCCCAGACCCCACGCTAGCACCGGCACTGTGGTCTGTGTTAGGGAAGGTTGTAGATGTCATATAAGTACTTTAGCACACTTTATGTGGTGGTCTGGCAAAACCCTTGATGTACATCTGGAAAAAAAATTCATTAGGTTCACACTCACTTTACTTCCTAAATTATCTGGATGTTCAATCTTTTGTAGCAACGATTCAAAACTCATGTGTGAACTGTCCTATACATTCTTAAAGTAGTGAATAAATATTAAATTTTGTTATTACAGTAAATAATTGGGTTATTTGTCTTTTTCACTCTTTGAGAGTAGTAGATTTGTTATTTGCTCTAGGTTATTCCATATTCATATCATTTTCTTTCATTCAGTGATCTTTTAATCAACCACTTGAATGATAATTAAGGTGCTTTTAGATGCTATGTTATTGATTACCTCATGGGTTTTGTCTAAGAAACCAAGTTAAACTGTTAGTTATAGTGTCATTATTTATACTTCACCTATAAGCAGTTACGTGACCCTTATTAATTAATAATACTTTTCAAGTATACACAAGAAGACTGTCACATAATCTGCATAAAGTATTTAATTTCGGCACCAATATTGACAATAGTTATTATGCCTACATATTTAGCTTTAATATTTTTATTATATGTATTTTAGAATAATGATTAATTACTGCTTATCTGATGATTAGTATGATTTGTAGTTGTTTTAATCTGTTTAATGATTCTATCAAAATTGTCGTAAATAATGTTTTATACTGTTGGCAATTTCTGTTTTTAAAATTGCTGATATATTCGACATGTATTCCTACAAATATGTCTAGGATTAGAGGTGTGGTGAGGTTGATTCAAAGATATGGTACCAATTCCTAGACAGTTATTAATGATAGTTGTGCTGCCCTTTTGTATTATTTATAGTAAATGGATTTTCTGTAGTTTATCATTAGGCCGACCAGCCCTCCATAAACCAACATTAGAATACCGCACTTTCGGCGGTAAAGAACAATTAAAACCTCATAAGAAAGGCAACTAATCCGTTTACCTATAATTGAATCCAAGGACACATCTTTGATAATGTGTTAATCCAATTAATATAGTGAGATAACCTAACGTTAGTTTATCGAGGGCGGGTTGAGCTAATGTTTACAATAAAAACATTTGCGGGTATTAAGCATTGGTAGCACAACTTTTGTTACTGAGAAGTAATATTTTATATGACATTTTTTATAATTGTAAAACATGTAAAACTATTTTATACTGTTAATATTGTGAAACTGAATTTCTTGCTTATTATCGGCCACACAAATGCCATACAATAAGTTGTATTATGCAGAAATGTACACACAGTTGTTTAATTTCTGCTTTTTAGAATGGGAATCAATTTTACTGATTCATTCCTCTAAAATTAATCCTACCTTTTACTTTTTTATGTTAAATATGGAAAAAATGAGACAAATTGAAACAACACTATTTAGAAATTATGTTATAAAAAACACTTTACAGTATTTATATGTTATTAAAATAAAAATAATTGTTAGCTAGGTTAATAAACAAAAGGAAAATATTTTCTCATAATTTTAGCAATTCAAATACTAACTTTTTAATTTTTAACTTTCATATGGAAACTTTTATAAAATATGGCGGATGTAAAAGAAGAGCACAGTGTTCTCTGGTATGTTGTATTGACATGCACCCTCTATAGTACGACGATGTTAAGTATATGCATAGAGCTATTAAACAACTAGAGTGCTGACAAGATGGCGAAGCAATGCAGAGTTATGTATGTGTACCATCCAAGATGGCCATCATAGTAAAGCGCCACCTTCAGGCTTAGTATACATATTATTACCATAAATAAACCCTCTGACTGACTATTATTTCATTAATGATGATGAGTAATGGTAATAACAAATTATTAAATTATCGTAGCCAAAACAAGGCCAAGTGGAGCAACTTATTCAAAAATAAAGTACCAAGGAATGAAAATTAAAATCGTGTACATTACACCCAAACACCGCAACGCTCGAGCTTCACACATACGGGTAACTAGCTGTACTGAACTTTCTGTGTAAATTGAGGGCGCAATTGCAAATGATGGCGCTTAGGCGAAATTTGATTGGTTAAATCTATGGCAGCCATCTTGGATGGTACACACACAGCTCTGCGTATTTCGAACATCGAATACATTGCAGTTAGCGCTCTAGTATTCTTATTATATCTCTATGAGTATATGTAAAAAGTAGTAACATTGTCTGTGTGTTATCAGACTGTGGTGTGGCTTTTGTCATTTTGTTTACTGTATTAAATTTACTATTTAATTTCTCAGCTGACATCTGGTACAATAAAGATTGAAGTGATCTAACTTTTGATTATATTGTCTTGCAAATGTGTAAATAATTTTTTGCTTTCAAACTGAATCAAATATTTTACTTAAACCCTTCATAAACACATGGATTAATCATAATGTTTATAACTATGTATATTGGTGAGATTGTTCGACTACTATTAAGATTGGTGAAAAGTATAATGTTATGATAGAAATGGAGAGAAGGTGGTAGGAAGGCAGGACAGAGGTTGACCTAAATCGATATGTGTAGCATACAAGAGTGTTCAATCTGGTTTATGTTACTGACTGAGCAAGAAGGGCACAGCGCGGAGATGACTGGAGGTCTATGGTAGATAAGTGGTAAAGCACAGGTGTCGCAACCTACATCCATAATGTTGGCACTGGTTCGAGCGGCACATTCACTAATGGTTTTGGTGGCGAAACAAGTCTTCTCTTCTCGAATAAGGCCCAGTTTACACAATTGGCTAATGTGCACTTTAATGAACCCACTACATTTTTTAAGACAATAAGTTACCCAAGTGTGTTCATACATCCCCTAGCTGGTACCATTTTATTGGGTAGCTCAAACACAAAAATTTCCATCAGACTAGACTTTTTTTATACCTTGTTTAGTGAACCTGCTGAACGCAAATATTGAGGATTTTGAATAAAAATAACATTTTATTTTAGGCCAATTAGCATGCCTGCCGCCACAAAAAAAATGGAAATTTCAGAAAAAAATTAAAGTTTTTCTATATTTTTATTAGGTCTCTGCTGCTTTGAAATCTCCAAAGATAAGATATGTATATTTCTTCTAATAATATAAATTATTTTACATTCACCAATAAAATTTCAATTTTATTTTCTCCTGGATGTTTTTGGCAAAACTATTTGCTAAATAAGAAAACAAAATTTTATTTTATTCCGCCCTCCTCCGATGATTTAGAAAAAAATAATTATGCGAAACAAGGAATAAAAAAAGTCTCGCCTTCGGAAAAAAGAAGTTACTGTATGAGCTGGTTCAGACCTTAAACGCTTTCAGGCTATAAAATAGTTGTATAGTGCTACAAATATTCTCACTACATTAAATAACAACAGTTGTAGTCTTGTTCAAAAAAACAAATAAGTATTGTAAATAAATGCTTTCCTTTTATTGTATTGTACAGTACTTCCTAACTGAATTTAATTCAGCAAACATCAATATATATTTATACAACTTGAAATTAGTTAATCATTAATATATTTACATTTTATTTCCCTTAGTAAGAGCATAAGTGATGATTATCTCACAGCAATTAACACCTTTAAATAGGTTCATTCACTCTGTTATGTTCATCAGCATAATTGATCCTTTCATTTTTCTCCGTCAACATTATATAATTTTGATCACCAAAATACATATTGAAAATGTATGTATTTTATAACCAACAAGATACTGAATTCAATGAAGGTTGACTCCCAATATTTTGCTGGTAGAAAGACATACACAAAAGAGCACAGAACGAGCAGCAATTCAAACAATCCCACGGCATACAATATCGTCGGCAATTTTATATAATGTTATTACTTTACAGTTACTGATCTTTATGATATATAATAAATGAATACAGCATACAATCTTCAATAAGAGGTAATAAAACTATAAAAACCAGATAAGACAAATATTAAATATATATAAACAGATAACTTATTATAAAATAACACTAAATTGGATTCACCCTTCAGCTATAACATTATAATAATTTCCCTCCATGGCACACGCCCCCCCCCCAACTCCCGTGATAGTACCACCACTGGGGTGCGAAAGGCAAAAAATGTAGAATTGTATACGGACCCCTGACTTCAAGTAGAAAGATTACAGTGTTAACTACCCACACAGAAATACAACATATTATTTACACTGATAGTTTGTAAAATAAACCACTTATCTGATAATTAACTTTACTACACAGCATTTTGGGTGTTTAGGGTTTTTCTGATGGTCTCATAGCAACAAATAATTTAAAATGACTAGTAACTAAAAATATCACAAACACTGTTTCCTATTTATCGAAATACTGTTATATAACATTTATCTCAAAAGTATTTACAAACAACATTTTAATCATTTAATATAATCAATTATTTACATACAGTAATATTCAGCATTTTTTGGTTGTAATAAACACTGATAGTTTTATTTTTTACAATTTAGTAATGGTTTTCTTGCCATTCTCATCATGTGTTCCCATATAGTAGCCGCACTATTGGATGAGAGAGTGTGCAGTAAGGTTAAGCTATAATACAAGCTCAAATGTTTTCTACATCCCTCAATTACTTTACTCAGGCTTTGCCCCTAGATCTATAAAGATATAACAATTTATTTTCTTTTCACATGACTTGCACTTTTCTATAAAAAAAAAAAAAATTCATCTTTATACAGTATATTTAAGAGTAGCTAGGCTTTTTACAGTGACAGATGAACTAACAGACCAAATAAAATTCTATGTTTATTTGAAATTATTATCAACAGGCAGGGTTAACGAAACTAGGTATAAAAGGAATGCCTAATGTTGTGGTGTATTTTATCCTATATTATATGTGGTGACTAAAATTTGTTGCCTTCCAAAAAAATTTCGTTATTTTGATGAAAAAAAAGTGAGTGTAACGATTTTACGGAAACAAAACTTAATTTGCAAAAATATATATTATTAAATACTGTATTATAATTGTTGGCATTTTATATAAAGTTTTATCTGAATGTTACATATTTACATACTAATTCTAAAAGTTTTTTGTAAGCAATGAAATTTCTTCTGTTGACAACAGATGGTTCATCTGTTTCTTAACTGCCACACCACAGGATTTAATCCCATCGAAATCTCGCAAGGAAATTAAACATCAAGGGTCAAAAATGGCTGGCTCTCAACAACTCATCCCAAAGCATTATATACTTCGAAGAACTAATGTAAACCTCATGATCCAGTGCTACATGATGAGCACTTCCCTCACCAATCCTAACAAAGATACCTGATTGAGGGTCCTAGATAATAGGCTTTCCACTTACCAATCTTAGGAAAGAGAAGGGACTAGGTTTAAGCAATGAGGGTCCAGCAGATGGACTACAGTATCCACTTCCCAAGATTGAAATCTGGAAAGAACATCAAGGGTCATAGTTGATGGGTTCTCCATTCCCCAAGCTCCTATGCTTCAGACCCGCCAACCCCTGGGTCATGAAAAACTGGAGATTTTTTTTAAAATCTTTAAAAAAATCTGGAGGTTTCCAGAATTAACTAAAAAATTATGCAAGATACTAAAAAAGACACAAGACAAATCATTGGCATTGGTAGCAAAATCGAAAATGGCTGCTTGTTTATCGCATTGCGAAGTGAGCAGGTAGCAAATACATAATAAATAATAACGATAAAATCAAAATTATAGGTATGATGATGACGTATTAAACCCATATATGGACAAATCAAATTAAGTGTGGACAGTGCTTATTTGTTTAATTTTAGCAGGATCTGTGATTTTAATTTCTGCTGGAATGTCAGTCACATGATCAGAATCTGGTTCTAGCTTGATTTCACATTGTCCATTTCCCCGATCACTCGGGCAGTCTCCGCTGTCGGCCATTTCTTCCAAATCACTCTCTTCCCCTTGCTCTTCATCCTCGCTTACTACTCCTTTTTCGGCTTCACATACCAGGTCGTTATTTTTCTTGGATCTGTTGTTCTTGTATGTCTGAGCCAATTCTTGTGGATCCTGCAGAAATCTGAAAAGATAAAGGTAATTAGTAGCATTACTTTTTGATAGTTTAAAAAAAACTAATATTATAAAACTGAATTCAATTTTAATGTGCTTGTATTTAAATTATTTAAGCTAATTACTGTTAGCATGGAATTAATCCCTTCATTAATAACTCCAAGAGTACAAAAGTACCACTAACACAATAAATGTTAAACTTTTAACATAGGAATGTGTCAGTACTGTATGTTTCAGTACAGAGTTGCTGTAATACTTTTAAACATATAACTTTGGCACTAGTAAGTCGTTCAGTAAATGACCCATCATTTTATAGCTTATAATGTGGAGAATATGAATATATTAAAAAGTTAATTTTTTTGTTTTGGTCACCGATTCTGGTTTTGGCATGGCAAGCCCCATATATGTAAATCATGTGACTGTTTTAAGTATCCCAAAAACACTGTCATCTACTTTGGTTTGGTTTATTTTATATTTCATATTGATCTTTTATAATGAATTCATGATACACCTTAATGGTTTTTGTAAATAGATTTGATATAAATTTAATTAGTAAATGTCTAGTGGTTCCCCAGCTTCAATCCACACTCCATGCTTTCCTGCACCCCTCCCCCAGTTTGCTCCCTCTGCCTCTATCAGCTCTCCCACCTTCATCTCCTGAATGATCAAATAATATCTCACCTGTAAGTTAATTTCTGTCCCGGTTCCTTGCGGATAATATTCATCTTGTAGTAGTAACGCAGTGCCCTTGATAACTTTTCATATGTCATATTTGTACGGTTTTTTTGGCGCCCCCACAGATTAGCGATGGCAACAGGATCTAGGATCCGGAAAATCCTAAGATCTTCATCTTCCCAGCAGATGTATGGCTGGTACTTGGGATCGAGAAGCAACTGGCCAAGAAAATCCCAAAGTAAGCGACCATCTGGTAATACAATGAGAAGACTTTTTAAATTAATTTTTTTTTTTTTAAATCTAAAATGAAGTTCCTCTCACAATCTTATGTTTTATTGTATACATATCCAACCCAATACAAGTGAAAAATTAACTAGCCTTGCATACAGTGAAAACTATATCTAGCTACACTTGATTAAGAAGGCGTTAAGTAATTTTGTAGGAATTGGTACTACTACGGTAATAGTGATAATTCTTGTATTTGGCAAATACAAGAATTACAAATACAAATTTATCTAAAAAGCCTCTTCCTTCCAATTTCTTGAAAGATTAAATTTGTTTGTTACTAGGCCTTACAGTAGACAGAGGATTTAGTTTAAAATATCAGATAGCATGAAATGTATCTTTAATAATTTTTGAAAAATATTGGTAACATAGCACATTCTTTGGCTTCTGGTAAACAAATATATACCTTTTATTGAACTAGAAAATACAGTATTGTTGCATTGTTACCTGTTGGCTTTGAGTTGTCTGACAAGTGAAATTTGTCATTCAGTCCAGTTGGAAGTCCAGTAATGACCCCAAAATTTGACCCGTGACTCTGTTGCCTGTGTCGCATAATGCCATTTTCACTAAACACTTGAATCGGCAAGTCAGGATTAAACTGGAATTGTGGAACAGGGATTGGAAATCTCTCAGGAACACCCATCGCGACTGGACTTTTTGGTCTGATATTTTGTCGAGTGCCTTGACCGTTTAGTTTTCGATGGTCCATTGAGTGTCCAGTTGACGGTGCATCAGGGTTGCCCGTGTATGTGAACACCGTACCGTTATTTTTCTTTTGATCATCCTGCCGGCTGTTTATTATCCTGTTTGTCTGGGAATAGTACGTGGGTGACACAATGACACGGCGCTTTAATGATGGGTAATCGGAATCTAATCTGCCAGGGTTGTCATAAGGAGTCTTCAGATGGTGGTGGTGGCTCCTCTTTGGATGTCTGCGGATGTTGTCTTCCACCATCTCACTTGGAGAGCTTGTACCAGAATCACTACTTGGAGTTTCTGGTTTCTCTGAAAGAGTTTTAATAAATCATTCATAAAGAGTTTTAAATAGAAGGTAATAGAGAATTTTACCTTAATTATAGCAATAAACAGGGAAAATTAAAGAAAAAAGAAGTTGAAGCAAAGAATGAAATTGACAGATGGTTTGACATCCTGGTAAGCAACAGAAAGGCAATAATCAATATTTAGAGGGCTAGTAACCGTGTGGGATGGAGTGAAATGATCACCTACGCCGAGCGGCATTACTCCTAAGAAGAAGACAGCAACAAATATATTATGATCTAAATATTTTAGACTGTAAATAAAACTGTAAACAATTCTATTTACAAATGTGAATATTTGAAACCATATGAAATTATTTGAACAACGATATAATTAAATTTCATTAACACTTACCTGATTGTGTAACTGAAAGATTAAGAGGGAATACATTCTGTCCAACTAAGGTTGTCCTGGAAGTGTCCACTGGTGTTGGATTTGTTTTGGGAACACTTGGTGGAGTTGTAGACGTGGATCTGCACCTGCGCTTGTCATAACAAAACTGCTGCCGGTGGGTTGGGACTCCAGGGCTGTGTGGTTTTGGATTTCTCTGGGTCACTTGAGGAACTGATGAAAAGCATGGATGTCGAACTGGGCTGCAAGGACTTGAGCATTGATGCTGATCTGTTTGATAGTCATACTGTGTGTGGACATGGCTAGAGGGCGGTGTTTGGGACAACTGCCTGTAAGGGCTTCTTCTGTGTTGCATTTCCTCTAAAACAAGATGGTAAAATGGATGAATTACTTTTTGTTGATTTACTTACATATTCGGTTATTTACAGAGCGCCTTTCTTTGCAGATACAAAGTGCTTCTGTCCCCCATTAATTGGGTCTACATGCTGAAGTGTTGCTACTGTAATCAGCGCAGGAGCAGGCAGTCGAACCAGGTAGTCATTTATACTCCTGGGTGGAAAGAAGCAATGCAGATAAAGATCTTTGCTCAAGGACACTAGCGAAATGTACAGAGAGGAATTGAAACCCCGACCTCAAGGTTAGGAAATGAAGCGTTCCCGCTGCGCCAAACCACATGTATAGACAATGGAGGTATACAACCAAAAAATATTGTACCATACCTTGATAATGTCTTCTTTCTGGTGAGCTTTTTGCAGAGCATTTTTGCAAGGAATTCGAGGTCATGTTTTGCTGGGGCTGGGTTGGAGCTCTGATGTTCTGACACATGCTAGGATCTGTGAAAAACAATAAGATTAAATTAAATGAGATTAGAATTGATTTAATTATTGCTATGTTCTCACACGGCAGCTAACGGTTAGCAGGATCCGGATCCTGCTAACCGTTAGCTGCCGTGCGTCCATACGAGAAGATCCCGATCCGGATACCAAGAATATGATGATCGAATCACTGGAAATTGTAAACGCGTACGTGTGATTGGTTGACGATAGAAACGAGCTCAACTTGCTAACCATTAGCGGTATCCGGATACCGTTAACGGTTAACGCTAACCAATCCGTCATTCTCACACAGGTGCTAACGGTTAGCGCTAACGGTTAACTCCCGATCCGGATACTAGGCCTCTCGTGAGAACCAGGCTTATGATTATTGTGACAAGGTTACAACAACTACCCACCTTGTACACAAGTCTCATATTTCAGTTTACAAATGTTTAAATATAATAAAATATAGAAATGTGAAATACAAACAGAAACCATAAAGCAATTCACCAGCAAGTCTCACCAATCAAAACATATAATTATTTCACTGTTTTGGGATTTCTGCAGATATTATTCTCCTGAAGACGACTGAAGCACCTTAATCGAAACAACAGTTCTTTTCAGAACTATCGTGGTGTACCGCTAGCACTATTATATATAATATATATAATTACCAGCAACATATTCACAGTATCAATGAAAACAACAATCACATGAAAATAAGATTGCAAAATTCTATATAGGTTATATATTGTGATAAAATATACAAACAGCAATATGAAATGATTTGTTTTGATTGATTGAATGTTTGACCTTTGACAAATACAGTACAATTTAATACCAGAAATAAACTTGTAATTACCATAGTGATCAAATAAATGCTCCGGGTGTTTAATGTTGAGAAGGGTTTTTGAGCGGGCATTTACTTAAGGGAGGCACTTATTCAAGGGAGGTGTATATTTTTTTTGGGTGTAAAACGGATATGTAAATACTTAAATAAAACGGCCCTTACTTTCACTGTAAATGTGGAACTACAACACATAATTAGTGTAAAAATGTGTTATCGCATGATCATAAAGACTTAATGATTGCAACCAGGTTTAAAAAAATGGAATTCTACTGGAGTAGAACATGAATAGAATGTGTTGAGAATGATGTTACTTTTATTAGATTTGTTACAGCCATTTTTTTTTGGGGGGGGGGCATTTATTTGATTAGCAAATGAATGCCTCAGGACATTAATTCGAAATGAGGCACTGGAAGGGCTGTCTCTTATACACACATTTATTTAATTAAATATGGTATTACATACAACTAAATATATAAATAAAGGCCTTGAACTGTTGAGAGAGAACATAATTGGTCTAACAGGCTCTTCTTTTAATATTTAAAATTTAAAACCTTTTAAGACGTCTTTATATCATTATACTGCATATCGTGTGGGTACAATCTGGAAAAACTTTCACAAACTGAATTAAACAAAGAATAGTAATTTTACAGGGTAAAATTTTTAATTTTCAGTGAGACAAAAAAAAAAATCAGTTTTTGTTGATTTTTGTAGGCATTTTTAGCTTAACAAAGACAATAAATCTTTCAGATTGACACATTTAAAAATCTGTATTCTTTTGATAAGAGAAGCAAAGGAGCGCACCCATTGTTTCATATTGTCCTACATATTCTTTGAATACAGATGGCTAATGCTGAATTCCGAGAAGCCATGGTAATTTACTTTGCATCTTGCAATACTGTATAATAACAATTCTCTCTAGAAAGCATTGACTTATGACATTTAGTTCCAAATATAGATGTATTCCAGATTGCTTTCAAGTGAATTAGGAAACAGGAATGGGAATACAACAGTACATTCAATCTGCTTAAGAAGCCCAATCATCATACTACTTATTAGAAAGTGAAAATGCTTTTAAATAAAAAAAAGGTAATTATCATGATTAATATTTTGCATTAATCTGCAGGTGATAAACCTAAAACAAATGCCAATATCATAATCTATTTATTAACCTGAAAAATACCATGTTGCATGTCTTTAGTTTAGTTTAATAGTACTGTATACGCCCCCTCACCCGCTTGCGTCCCCAACTGGAAATTTGCCGATTGAAAGAATTATGTTCAAATAGTTGAAATTCATTCATTCACATTATAATTCCCCCTCACTTAATCATCGCTACTCCCCACTTAACCTTCATGTCCCATTATCCCCCACCCTAATGTCATTAAAAAACCATAATACTGGCTAGTATATTAGAATACTATACAAAGAAATTCCATTTTTTTTTTGGTTTTGGGTTAAAGTGTAACATCTGCTTTTCCATGATGGTATGGCTTGAATAGGTTGAAGATGATTGTACTTTCCACAATGCCATCTGACCTGGCCCAGACAACTAAACTCAAAAGGCATAAACCACTGCACACCACCAAAATTTATTTAATTTTTCTTTGAGGCAAGACTTTTTTATACCTTGTTTCATGTACTTATTTTTTTAAAGATCATCGGAGGAGGGCGGAATAAAAATAAAATTTTGTTTTCTTATTTAGCAAATAACAAAACATCGGAGGAGCAAATAAAAATAAAATTTTATAGGTGAATGTAAAATGGGATGGTTAAATGCTTCAAATTTATATAATTAAGAAGAAATAAATACATATTTTATCTTTGGAGATTTCAAGGCAGTGGAGGGCGTAATAAAAATTTTTAAAAAACTTTAATCTTTTTCTGAAATTTCCATTTTTTGTGGCAGCGGGTGCGCTAATTGGCCAAAAATGAAATTTTATTTTTATTCGAAATCATCAATATTTGCGTTCGACGGGTTCGCTAAACAAGGCATAAAAAAAGTCTCGCCTAAACAGTGTAATAATAGGATGGTTAAATGCTTTAAATTTATATAATTAGGAAAAAATATACATATTTCATTTTTGGAAATTTTAAGGCAGCATCGGGCGTAATAAAAATTTTTAAAACTTTTATTTTTTTCTGAAATTTCCATTTTTTTCATGGCGATAGGTGTGCTAATTATTGGCCAAAACTAAATTTTATTTTTATTCGAATTATCATTATTGGCGGGCAGCGGGTTCGCTTAACAAGGTATAAAATAAGTCTCGCCTAATTACCTAAACTAATCAATATTGTAAATAAAGCCATAATTTTAAGGTTTTCAGGCCTGTTTTCTTCCACAATGATGGAAAATGGTAACAACAGTCACTTATTGATCAATATTAACATAAACAATTTCGCAATTAAATACTGCCATCAACAATGAGCTAGTGGCTGCTGTTACCATTTATCATTGGTTTATTGCAAAAGGAAATACAGACATGAACAATTTTCAACTTTATCTATCAATTTACAATATTATTTATTATTTCATAATCGGAGCGTATGAAAACGTGTACAATTATAAAAAAAATAATGCTTATTAAACTTAATCGACCTTTCTGGAGTGTTTCCGTTAATAAAACTTAACTGACGAATCAGAACAGGGCCAGGAATGTGCATGTGTCCTACAAACACAGGTGTTTACGTACCTTTACGCTATTGATTTGTGAGGCCTTAGCAACAATATCCAAGGGGTGGAGCTTAGTGGAAAGTTCCATTTTGAATCAAAATGGTATTCAAAGGTATATGATGGCATGCAGTAGTGTACTATGGTATGTTCTTTTTCTACATTTTCTAATGTTTTTTAGTGAGACCCCCAGATGACGGTGAATGACTTGTAAACAGCTCACTGCAAGCCTTCCATGGCGCTACTACTCACCTCACATGACTCTGATCAACAAACAAAATCCCTTGACATTGTCAACCGATTCTTTTGAACATAAAATGTATGGTTAAGAATAACTGTGACTCACTCACTTTTAATACCGGGCTGATGAATCGATCGATACTTCAATAACATTTGTTGTGCATTTAATGTAGCAGTAAATTCATTTACAAGACTTTAAGTGGGCAAGGATTTATTGAAGTTGGTCTTGATCAATGCCTCCCTCGAATAAACGCGGTGGGGTGTTTATTTTTTCTTTGAATAAACACCTCTCTAAATGACTAACAAAACTGATGGATCATTCTTAGTTCAAATTTTATTAATGTTCTACTTCAGTAGAATTACATTTTTGCAACCTGGTTGGAATCAGTAAAGTCTTTATAATCATGCAATAACACATTTTTACGATGATACTGTATTTTAGTTCCACACTTACAGTGAAATTAAGGGGCGTTTAATTGAGTATACAGATCCAGTTTACACCTTAAAAAAAAAAAAGCCTCCCTTAAAAAAACGCCTCCCTCGAATAAACACCCCATCAAAACAATAAATACCCCAGGGTGGTTATTCAGATAAATACAGTAGTTGTCTCATCCCAAACAGTGGTACCTGTATGTTACAACCATTCAACTAATCACTTCCTTGTCTAGTTAAGTCACAAGTCCTGTTTATGATGGAGATAATTACACTGTTTAGGTTTATAGGGAGTGACACCTTGTAATTTCACTTTGTATTATGCAAACCAAGTGTTTAATTATTGCTTCCTCTCTCTAAATAGATCTTCACAGACATAATTTGATAATGAGTAACAGTAAAATTACCAAAACAATGTGATCATAAGGCAATTTAAACTGAATTCATGATTAATAAACAAAAAACTTATGATACAAGCAAGATGGGCACTGCTGTGGCTGCTAACTTGTAGAAAAAGATTTTATTTTTAAAATCTTGTACAGAATTGATCAATTCCAGGTTAAAATTCATGCATACATGATTGTAGAAAAAGTAATTTACTACAAGTGCCTTGGGAATGCAATGTAAACCAGAGGGTTTTAAGCCTGGTTCCACAAGAATAAATAGTAATCAAAAATGCTTGTGAGTTGTGGTTAATGTAACTGCTTTTGCTACTTAATGCTCATTTAAATTTGCGTCACTGTTCAATATATAAACCGTGTTTGAATACTAAAGAATACAGTGGTGCTGCATTGACAATTACAGGGAGCTTTTAAATGTAATAATTAC